ACTCGTTGAAAATTGCTTTTTTTGCTTAGAATAATGCAAGAAAACACCTCTTAAAGTTACGAATATTATTTCCCTAATAATGGAGGAAATAAATGTCTATTTGGGGGCCATCTCATCAGTCACGTAACTAATGTTCGCCAGGTTTGTGCTGTTTAATTTTTTCATACAATTCCGCTTTCACACATGAATCGTCAAACGGGATTCCTTTTTCGCGCAACCATTGCTGCATGTCACCTTTTCGAGATCCCATAGTCGGTACACGTTCGGCTCGACGATTATGGTAGGAAGCATTATCCATGACGATCACAGAGTTGGGCTCAACTCGCTGAAGCACCCCTTGAAACCAGCTCTCAAAGCAGCTGGCATTCATTTCGTCATGGTAATCACCTCCTTTCTTAGAGACGAAAATCAAGTCACACTCTTCTAAAAAGCCACTATCGCTACCAATATGAGTTACGATCAATCTTTGACCTTTCCACGAAGACCTGTTGACAAACCTTCAATGCTTGCTTGTCGGTTACTCACTATGTTTTTGTCTATCCAGGTTTTTTTAACTGTGTGACCTGCATTTACCCATGTCTCGTCCAAATAATAGATTTTTCTGCTTTGTCGCCTATATTCAATCATTTCGCGTAGGTATTTTCGACGCCAGGCGACTATTTCAGGTCTCTCTATCAATACTGACTTCCGATTACGCGTTTCGTAACGAAAATTAATTTCGTGCAGGGATTTCCTCATTACCTCGACGCTCATTTGGGGTATAATTTCATTTTCCTTGATCGCTGCATGTACAGCCTTGAGGGTTGGTATCTCATTCCTAAAGAAGAATGAATGTACGGTTCGCCTTAACGCCATTTTGCTATCGTCATCCAATTTAACGGCCTTTCGTCCCTTCAAATTAAACTTTGGATCAGTAGTAGCTCTAGTTTTCTTCTTTTCATGCACCACCCTGCGAATGGTCCACTCTGGAACGCCTGTCATACTTTCACAACGCGCGAGTGCATCTCCCTGCGACATAGTTCTGTTCAGATAATTGAACACGTTGAGCACGATTTCTTTCGCGTCCCTCTTCAGTGCTTTACGAAGCCGTCTACTTGTTCCCTGGCTTTCAGTACTTCCACTCGTGCCATTTGTACTCTCCATGGTTAAGTATAACCAAAACAGTAACCACAGAAACCACAACAATAACAATCACACAACAATTCTTATAAAAACACACAATATGCGATCGCTCAACGAAACACGTTCCAATGCGTTGCCGACGCCTATGAGTCTGCCGATCGAGGCGCGTCTTTGATTTCTTTGGTTCTACCGGCGGAGAACAATCAGCCCTTATTTCCATCTCTGTCTGTGCTGTTGACCACCGCAAAGCCACAGAAACGACATATGTCGTACGCTATACGGCTGTACTGGAGGGAAGCCGGGATCGAGCTCTGATCACGTGTTGATCACGCGTATGAGTCATTACAGTTTTAAATAGTTGTAGTAATATTCAGGGCATGTACTGACTGAACCAATACAAATCGCATGTTTCATTTCGTTGACGCCTCCCGCAAAAAAACACACGAAAAACTTGTTCGGACGCTCTTATCAGTAAAGAGAATTGGCCATTCAGAAATACCTTGACGCTAATAGGGTCGACTTATCAGATATAGATAGGCGGGCCTTTCATAGTATTTTGTGTATCACAGGATACTCTAGAGGTTATTTGGAATTCAAGGGTGCCTAGCGATCTTCCTCGTACTTGTTTCAGGATGTTCTTCGACTTCGTGCAGCACTGCTTCCTCAATTTCAGGTTCTCGCACTTAGAGGTCTACCTTCAGATGTTCCTTTTCGGACAGAACCAGTTTCAACAAGACGAGGATGAATATTAGAAAAGCTTCGACTATCTGGCACAGCACGATCGGGATATCTCTAGTGATAAATCCGTCTGGCTTGCTCACCATTACCGTCGGCAAGGCCATATACGTAATGCATTTCCGCCATTTCTGCATTTGGATAATTCACCATTATTACCAAGATTGTAAAAACTAAGTAATGAAAAAGATATCACAGCCAACAGATTTGAATAACAGTGACTTGTTAGATGTCAAAAGCCAGTGACATATTCCAGAGCAACTGGATATTTATTGCTAAATTGCATTCTTCAATTACATTAATTTTCTCGGACAATAGTATGGTTTTTATTTTTTTACTCAAAAATGGCGCAACGAAGGAAAACAATTCAAGAGAGATCATTTGTTTTAAATTGAATGGTAGATTCAAAAATAATTTTTATTTGCATTCACACCCTTAAATATTCGCATATCATTAAGTACACTCTGTAAAAGTACCCATTGCGTAGTTATACTAAGTGACATATAAATCCGAACACCCAGTTTAAAGGGTTTTATTTTAATAAAAGTTGGTGAATGTATTTATCTTACTGTAAATAACAAGTGAAAAAATTTTCAGCCTTATCAGTTGGACATTCCGGTTTTTATACTGTTTTTTTTTAATTCACTAACGCTCTAAAAATGAATATTTCAGCCGCAGTAAAAAATCAACGTTGGCGGATTTTGGTTCTTGACATCCTTTACGATCGGTTACGATGCCTAGAGTACGGAGACCTGTACGATTTCGTCAACTTAGTGAGTTTGATAGGGGCCGTATAGTGGGACTTCGGGAAGCTGGACTTTCTTTTCGGGCAATTGCAGTTAGAGTGCAAAGAAGTGTAGACACTGTGGTAAGGTGTTGTCAGGCATGGCTTCGAGAAGGCCGTACGCAAAGAGCAAGGGGCACTGGACGCCGCCGTAGAACAACAGACCGTGAAGATCGCCGCCTAAGATTATTGGCCTTAAGGGACCGTTTCTCCACTATCAGGTCCATTGCAAATGAATGGTTTGCAGAACACGGAAGACCTATTGGCATGCGAAGTGTTTACCGACGAATGAGAAGTTTTGGCTTGTTTTCATACCGGCCACACTGGGTCCTCCCTTTAACTCGAGAACACCGAGTAATCGCCTAGAGTGGTGCAGACAACGGTCACTCTGGGATCAGGAATGGAACAGTGTTGTCTTTAGTGACGAGTCTCGATTTTGTTTAGGCATGCACGATGGTCGTGCCAGGGTTAGAAGGCGACGTGGTGAAAGGAGGAATCTACAGTTTTTTGTTGAAACACATGTTCATCACACTGTTGGAGTTATGGTTTGGGGTGCTATAGCTTATGGTTCCAGATCACCTTTAATCTTCATCAAAGGTAACATGAACGCGCAGCGTTATATCCACGAAGTTCTAGAACCCCATCTTTTACCCTATGTTGACACCCTGGCAGATCCAACTTTCCAACAAGATAATGCCCGACCACATGTTGCAAGAGTCACAATAGACTTCTTTCAACATAATGATGTCACATTGTTACCATGGCCACCAAGATCTCTCGACTTATCCCCAATTGAGCACGTGTGGGATATGATGGGTAGGAGATTGCTCAATTTGCAACGTCCTCCTCAGACTCTAGAAGCACTTCGAGAGGAGTTGGTGGTTGCCTGGAATGAGATACCACAGGAGGACATTGACCACCTGATCAGAAGCATGCCTAGGCGCGTTGGAGAATGCGTTGCACATCAGGGTGCATCCACACATTATTAAAGGTCAAAGGGCTTTAAAGCAGTGCAATCATTTTGAAATTTTTATCATTTACTTATTATGCTTCATTAAGTACTTATACAAAATTCTATTGAAATAAACCATTTAAACTGGGTGTTCGGATTTATATGTCACTTAGTATATTTACGTACGAAGTGGATTTCTTTGACAATTCGCTGTGAATGAGATTTTAAATGTACAACTCATTTCGCTTAATATTTAATTTCTGTCACTCCGTCCATGATGGTTCTCTGAATATTTCGTCAAGTAGATTGACTCAGTATTTATAACGCATTGATATAAAACAGACACGGACCGACAAACTGAAATAAATTAGAAGCACGGACTAGTGTGACGTAGACTCTTTAAGCAACAGAAAACTTGTCAACCGAAGTGAGAATATTATCACGAGTTTAATATATCGTTTAGGAAGTCGCAATTTTTTTTCATGACGAGGTAGATAGACTTCATTTCCAGTGTCCCTCGTATACTTTGGGATGCATAAAATCGCAAACCCTATGATTCACGCGATCTTACGAGGAATCTGAATCTTAACCTCACTCTTTACTAAACTTAAATTCAAAGTTTCACAACAATACGTGCAGTGTTCTCACTACAGTGAATTTTCAAGTGTCACAAGTCATTAGAAAGATGGAACTCAACCGACTCAACATTTTCGCGCCATGATTTATTACAACTTTCAGAGACAATTATCGCAACAAGAATGCCTTGTTGGATCTGCCAGCAAACAAGTGGAAAAAGTGCTTCGAAAATTGGTTCGAGCGCATGCAGATATGTGGAGAATACTTCGAAAAACAATAAAGTCATTTAAAACTACCTACCGTGTTGTTTTATTTCCATATGCAAAACTTAAAAGACATCCCCCTCGTATTTTTAATGTGGCGACACATGAAACGTTCCCCTCGTGTCTTTCGAGGCGTATGGTTTATTTTCTTTGCTGGGACAGTTTGTTTAAATATTTTCGCGGAACGGCGATCTCTGAAAATAGGTATCGATATTTTTACGTTCGGATTGTTTATCAGACACTGGGATTGTACGTGGAACTTTGCGAAAAGTTTACACAGTGTAGATGGCAAATTCGGCGATGTTCGATTTCAAACAAACACATCCGCTTTTTATTGTTTCTCGATTCTTAACTGGGGAATTTATGTTTTATTTGTAAAAGAGTCATTTAAAAAGCAAAATCTATGCTACTCGGCCAACATCATTAGAAGACCTGCGACAAAGACTTGTGAATGAGTGCCACCCTGTATATGGCAACCCTGGGGAAATATCTACCACCACTAATGGAATAGACAGCATGTTTAGTTGATATACTTGTTTTTGATTGAATCAAATATCTTTTGATACAGGTATCCACAAGCCCGAAGCGAGAGTTATCTGAAGGAAGACGAATGACTGGGCAAAGAGCATGTCAAGACCGAGCATGCTCCGTACCAGACGGAGGGATGTCAACCTCAAACCCAACCGGAGGTAAATATGGCGATTCAAGAAATTACGTGAATTCACCTCTTGATTCGTGATGACGTGTGCGGTTGCCGTATCTCAAATACGCTGATACTCCGAGGCTTTTCCCATCAACAACACAGGCGCAAATATAACGTAAATCGTACTATCTTGAACACACCCTGCAGGGTGTTTGGTACATAAACCGAAATAACTTTTTGATGATTTTTAGTGAAAACCCTGATGATTTAAGCGCTATGATCAACGAGATATATAGGGTGATATTTAAGTACGTGGCCGAACTTCAGGTCGTAATTCTTTGAGTAATTATACAATAATAAGAAGTTGGGGCATCGCTGGGTCTTTTTCCGTTTCCAAAATTAACGGTTTCCTTTTGTACTTACCTCGTATATCTCGGTAATCATAGCCAAAGGTGGAAAAATGATAGAAGCCTCCGTAAACTTTGTAAATTCTCATAATAGACACAAGTAGCGGCAACACTGCGGTGAGCGATCTGTTCGAGAACGATCTCGATTACTTTGAACGGAATAAAGAGCGTTAGTGCGCTCAGTTTAAAACTGAACGGCAGAAAGTCCACCGGTTGGCATGCAATTAAAAACATTATGAGTAGTAGTAAGAAGATGAAGACATACCATTTCCATTCTGAATGGGAAGAACAATATTTCTTTACAGAAGTTAAAGGTGAACATGTAAGTTTGTTATGTAATACATCTGTTTCCGTTGCTGAAAAAGGGAATATCGAGAGCCACTATGAAACTGTACGTTCGAATTTCAAAAAATCATTCCCATATCCAAACACCTACGATTGGTAGGAATTAGTTATTAGTTTATTAAAGATTATTAGTATGTTTTAGTATTAGTAAAATAAAAACATGTATGTCGTATACAACTGTGTATAATTTCATTTAAGTTGGCTTACATTGTTCACGACTAGGTAGCTCACTGTTTACTCCAAAATTATCAAAGTAGCTCAACAAACGGTTTTCACTAAAAATCATCAAAGATCGTGAGGGGGATCTGAAATACTCTAGCGTTATGTATGAGGCAGTAGTAGAACACAAAGATGAATTTAGAAAACTACTTTGGGAAGAGTTAGGGTGTTTGGTTCTGCTGATGTCTCACAGGTGCCGCTAGGTTCATAATTTTTCTCTCTATTATGTATCTACCGAAGAAAGAGACCAAACCGAATCATATTCAAGTATACTCCACGTGATCGCTCTCCAGAACGCCGAGCACGTTACAGGGCCGTACTAAGAATAAATAAATTATTGCAGGCATGTATAGGGTCCAAGCGTAAAGCTTGGAATTAATGCATTTTTTAAATTTAACTGTCATGACCAAAAAGAAAACAAGTGTCTATTGTTGTTTTTAATAGGAGTGTTTTATCAAGAAATTATACTCGAAATGTGCCGTAAGGCGCATTTATGAAGTAGGCTTTTAAAAAATGTCTTGACATATTAAAACGATAATTGCATATGCGTACAAGTATACCTAGCCATCGCTTGAACAGGGACGTCAGTGTGCAAACAGTTAATTTTAATATTAGACTAAAAACTAAATAGTTAGGTGGAGTTGAAAGAAAAAGGATTTAAATACATAATGATATACAGGGTGTTTCAGTTTATTTTTGCATAACTTTAAGATTCGATAGAACTTTTAAAATTAATGCATAAAGTCTATATAAACATGGGTCGAAAAATGCATGGCTTCCGAAATACAGGGTTTTAAATTTACTTTCTAAAATACTTTTTTTTAAATATTTCGAACAATATTTGATGTATACAGTAAAAATTGGTATACAAGGGTTTTTTGATACGACAAAACGAACCATGGGCATAGTTTTACTTTAGCCGCTAGAGGACGCTCTCTACTGTACCTGTGGTGTATTAAAATGACCGAAAATTTTTTCTTAGTGCAATTTTTTGCTTTTTGAATAAAAAAACTGATTCTTCGCACTTTTCAACATAAAAAAGCTCTCTTGTGAATTTTCGTTATAGTTAGCCGTTTTTGAAATATTTCGATTGTTAAGGTTCGATGCATTTTTAATTATTTATAATAAAATAACGTTAAAAAGTCAGTATCTCGATAATTTTTAGAAGTAGTCTGTGCCTGCAAATATTTTTGGAATTGAAAGCAGAATAAGGTTAAACGTCAATTAGTTGACAGTTAGTTTTGTTGTCTGTTGAAACCTGAAACGTTATTTTGCAATTGTGAATGCACGAAATTTAGTTTCTTTTACCTGTTTTTTTTTTTGTAAGTTTTATAAAAATGCCATTTTTATTCTCCAATCAAGAGTTAGCGGATATTCATTTTGTGTATGGCTTTGTAAATGGAAACGCAGCAGAAGCAGCCAGAGAATACGCACGAAGATTTCCAAACAGACGACATCCAACTCGCTCAGTATTTGTAAGAGTGCATCGCCAAATAATTGAAAATGGTTTTGGAAATCTCCAAAGGGATCAAAACAAAAATGTTCGTCAGCGGGGATTTACCCGTATGATTCTGCGTGAGTTTGATAGAGATCCGACCACAAGTGTTGGGAGAGTTTCTGGTGCCTTGGGAATTTCAGCAAGCCATGTTCACCGTGTTCTTAGAAATGACCATAGACGTCCTTACCATTTGCAACTTGTGCAAGGACTAAAGCCAGGGCACGGAGAACGAAGAATCACATTTTGTCAGTGGATTCTTCATAGAACTGATAATAATAGGGAGTTTTTAAGTAACGTTTTATGGACCGATGAGTCATGTTTCACTAGACGTGGAGTGGTAAATTTTCATAATCAACATATTTGGTCGCATGAAAATCCGCATGCAGTTCGGGAAAGACATTTTCAACATGAATTTAGTGTGAACGTGTGGATTGGTATCTACCATAATCGACTATTTGGACCCTACCTTTTGCCTGCAAGGTTAAATGCTGCGACCTTCTTGGAAGTTTTAAAGGCTGAACATGCAAATATGTGGGATGATGTTATGTTAGATTTAAGAAGATTGGCCTGGTTCCAGCTTGATGGTTGTCCAGCTCATTATTCGAGAATAGTTAGAAACTGGCTGGACGAAAATTATCCAGAAAGATGGATCGGCCGTGGAGGACCAGTCGCCTGGCCTCCACGATCCCCTGGCCTAAATCCATTAGATTTCTTTGTGTGGGGATTTCTAAAAGAACAAGTGTATCAGACTCCTGTAACCACAAGAGATATGCTAATAGACAGAATCAGGAATGCATGTGATGAAATAAGGCCTTATTTGAATAATGCTATACCACGTTCGATCATTCGTAGATGTGAATTGTGTATTGAACAATTGGGTTTATTTACATTTTGAGCAACTACTTTAGATTTTGTATGTTTGTCCTAACTATCCAATAGCATTTTAGTTGTAAATAATTAATTTAATTTGTTAAAAATAATATTGGAAAATTAAACAAATTAATATTCTGTTTTTTGTGTTTATTTGGAGTTAGGAATTATTGCTGTGTTTAAAAACACAATCTAAACGATCATCTTAATTACTTGTAATGCCCAAATCGAAAATGTAAAAAAAAGATTATTTTCCCATAAATAATTAAAAATGCATCGAACCTTAAAAATCGAAATATCTCAAAAACGGCTAACTATAACGAAAACTCACAGGAGAGCTTTTTTATGTTGAAAGGTGCGAAGAATCAGTTTTTTTATTCAAAAAGTAAAAAATTGCACTAAGAAAAAATTTTCGGTTTTTTAATACACTACAGGTACAGTAGAGAGCGCCCTCTAGCGGCTACAGTAAAACTATGCCCTTGGTTCGTTTTGTCGTACCAAAAAACCCTTGTATACCAATTTTCACTGTTATACATCAAATATTGTTCGAAATATTTTAAAAAAAACTATTTTAGAAAGTAAATTTAAACACCCTATATTTCGGAAGCCACGCATTTTTCGACCCATGTTTATATAGACTTTATGCATTAATTTTAAAAGTTCTATCGAATCTTAGAGTTATGCAACAATAAACTGAAACACCCTGTATACTAAATATTATGCAAAAATTTATTGCACAGACATTTTACCTCTAGAACCGGAAATACATATATTTGAAAATGAAACTCATTCTAGATCTGAGGCCGTGGAACTCCCACTGTTATGATTGAAGGGGCAACGTGACTATCAATGATACCTTCCAATTCCCACATTTTAGGTTCGACCTTTTGTTTTACATGTTGAGACATTTTCCCACTTATTCGGTGTTATTCTTTGAATAGCATCATGAAAAATATTTTTAAGGTCAGAAAATTTAAAACATTTATTTTCTGCTACAACGTATTCTTTTGTGTCTGCCCAAATGAGCTCAATCGGATTGAGCTCACAATGGTAAGGAGGCAGTTGTAAAACAGTTTTATTTTGGCCATTTCATCAATTACGTTCAGGTTATATTTATTTTTATGCGTCTTGATAATTTGTAACAATTCTGCTTTAACCGTTGTATCATCATAATCAATCTTTTTATTTTTGAGCCATCCTTAAATTTCTGATTTTTTTTGTTGACGTTGTTGGAATTTTCTCTAATATATCAGTGTACTGATCACGCGATGATCACTCTTTTGGTTTGTTTTAGTCTCTTTCTTCGATACATACATAATAATGTCGACTTTACAAGGGTATATTCAGGTACAAACGTTAAAAAATGTGAAAACACTTATAGCACGCTATCTGGCCTGAGGAAACTCCGTCTAAATTAAAGTTTAGGACAATACCCCATTGATACGTCTGAGTGTTATATCCGATACATAGTTTTTTTTAAAACTACAGATTATTTCGCTACAAAAAAGGCTGGCTCCGAGGTGGAAATTATAGGAAAAATCCCTGAGTGAATACACATTAATAAAATGACTCATTTTTCAATCTCCCGAAAAATGATTTAGCCTGTACCTTGAACTTTTCCACCGCAGATACCACCAAATAGACGTCAAAAACAATCCTTGACATTCTTAATTTATCGGCATATTTTAGGGACACGAAAAATTAGATGTTCTTAACAAAAACCTAATAAATAACATTTGAATGTCATTCCAGCCATTAACGTTAACAGCATCATAAAAATGCGAGTAAGAAAGTGGCTTTATTTTTATATACAAATTTTTAAAAATGAATCAGTGCAAAACGCGATGTTGACATGAATGGGTGCTTTTTCGACAAAAAAAAACTATAAAAGTGTTTCATTGTGAGTTTTTATAGTGAGTTAACTTGAGTTAAAATGGAGGCTTCAGAGGAGGTTCTACCTTTGGTATATCCTAGGTAAAATTGTATACCACTTTTTAGGCATTGTTATCTCTAAAAGCAAAGCTATTTGATTTGGTGTATCAAACAGACTCGGAATCCATTTAGACAGACGGCTTATATGGCAAAAGCACATTCAAAAAAAATACAAAACAAAAGGGTATCTAACACGAGGTATTGGAGGATTACACAGGCCGACAAGTCTTTTCCGAAGGCTCTAGTTTCCGAGTCATCCTAACCTAAAAGTAGCGATTTTTGCGTATATTTGAGTTTGTGTAACCTGTCGAATTCTTGTTTGTTTCAAAGAACAATAGACATCATCTCAAAGTACAAGCGTTCTCATATATCGCCGCTAAATAAAATGAATTAAACATCAATATTAGGAATACAGCTAATCTCTCAGTATAAATTTAAGTCACTATTAAAACAATATACAGGGTGTCCGCAAAGTTGGGGTTTTCCTTTTCAGAAACAACTACCCTTGAAATAACAAAGGTAATGTGTAGTGAAACGAGGGCGACCAAGTAAAAAAAAAATAAAGGAAAAGGTACTCACTCTCCAGTTGACGAGAAGGGCTAAGTACGTCTCTGCCCGAAATCATACCGCTCCAACAGAAAATGAAATCAGATGATGCGCTACCGAGCAGACGCAGGCAAACAAGGAAGGCAAAATGTTGCGTAAAAAGTCTAGGTATTGCATCCCGTCCAATCGATTTGGGAGAATAAATGGTCCAATGAGAATCCCGTTCACCATGCCAGCCCAAACATTCACCGAAAATGTTTGTTGAAAATGTGACCGACGGACAGCGTGCGGATTTTCTACTGACCAAACATGAGTGTTGCGAAAGTTATTCACCCCATTACGCGTGAACGTAGATTCGTCTGTCACCAATATGCACTTCAAAAAGTCCGGATTATTGTCATGTTGATGCAACAACCACTCACAAAACCGCACTCTTGCTGGAAAATCGTCAGGTTGAAGGGCTTGTACACGTTGGACGTGAAACGGATACAGCCCCTCTTCACGCAGCGTTTGCCACACTTTAGTTTTTGATACTTGCACTTCTCTAGCCACGTCTCTAGTGCTTGTTGAGGGATTCTCGTCTACGCGATTACCTCTACACGCGTGACCATAACCGTCGGTTTAAGGTTGCATACTGACCTGACACACTGACCCCGACCCAGTTCTGTCGTCGGGTTGAGCTAGTCTCCTAGTACCACTCGGGGATGTCGCGGCTACAGGACGGTATTCAGATATTTTTGATGTTGCAGAGCCCTTTATCTCGGTTTCCTTAAGACATTGGTGTATATGGTACTAAGAAAAATTGCTTATGTTTTCAAGATCTACACGTCGTGTAAAGGAAAACCCCAACTTTGCGGACACCCTGTATTTTCATCACACTGTAATCGTGGTAAACTATGTTTTATGTACACAGAAACACTGATATTTTAGATAGTTTAATACTTTATTTATTCTTTCACGTATACAGTAATAGACATATATAATATAGTTTATAGTATAAATATATAGCTAATTTAGACTTTTATATATATATATATATATATATAACTTGAGACGTGGTCATTGTCGTCTAGACCAGTTAGGTGAAAATTAAAGCTTCCGCCTTTTGTTGGGTACTTCGACAAAATTTAAGCAAGGAGGACTCTTTATACTTTTTTATTCTCTCTAGCTTTCAGTGGTCTTTGCCATCATCATCAGGAGAGTAGTATGTGAGGATGTTGCTAAATGTTGTTTACGTTAAGGATGAGGGAAACAACCAGATTAAATATTTTTAATCTGTTTTTAATTTGTTCTTGTCATACAGCTGTGTGTAGTTTGTATAATTTTGACCATTGTACCATGTATCCAGCTTTCACCATGTTACTGGTTGTTTCCCTCATCCTTAACGTAAACAACATTTAGCAACATCCTCACATACTTCTCTCCTGATGATGATGGCAAAGACCATTGAAAGCTAGAGAGGATAAAAAAGTATAAAGAGTCCTCCTTGCTTAAATTTTGTCGAAGTACCCAACAAAAGGCGGAAGCTTTAATTTTCACCTATATATATATATAGAGAGAGAGAGAGAGAGAGTAGATTGGCCAATGGACAGACTCCGCCGTTTGCATCCTACTTTTAATGTTATGCTGTAATGTTAATGATGCAATAAATATATATTAAATAATATGCAATTTACTATATTTGATACTCCACACGTTCAGATTTTAGCAGAAGGAAGTAATTTTTTATTTTAAATAAAGTGTGCAATTTTTATTTAGCGTTGAGAATTTGTTTTTTTTTTTGGTGACAGGTGTTATTTCATAAAAATACCATAGTTTGTTATTAAATTTTAGATGTGTGTTTAACCCAAACCACAACTTTGATAGACATACATTTGAAAACTTCAAATAATCATAAAAATTAAAAAAAAAATCGAAGGGCAAAGCTTGTACTTATCTATGATGTTTTGAAAAATAAATAAATCGCCTGGTTACTTTCAACTTAACCCTCAAGATTTTGAGTGGACAATTCGAGGTGTTAGTCCTTGGTCTTTTTTATAAAAGAAATTTAAAAAAATATTCACAAATACAAAGGTGATAAAAAAATTCCTTGAGCTTAGACCTGTCAATCATACTTTGACGTACGAAACTATTCATAAAAATGTTATTTTCGCTTCCCGTTTTATTTATAAACTTTTGTAATTTACGGTTATACGAAACATTTTACGAGTCTTCCGAAATAAAATACAAAAAGCCTTCAACGACATTGAACCGTGCTGAAAGAAAAATTACGAAAACAGTTTCTCGTTTCGTAAGCATAAATCGAAATGCACTCGAATTCCGACATTGTTTTCTTACGGTACAGTTTTCATAGCAATTGCGCTATTTTTAAAATTATAGTTTTGCTTTTTTGGAATCGCTGCAGGTAGCTTATGGTAAAGAAAGACGGAATTAGGAGGCCATGAAATTTGAGTCATGTAAAAAAAATGCCGTCAAGTAGGTGGACTCTGCACTTGCAGGATTCAAATCGCACTGGATGTCACCGACTAGAAGTGCGGTAATTTTGAGCACAGTTTTACAAGTTTTAGGTCTACTAAGCAATAGTCATGACAATGCAATGAAACAACAATGAAACAAATACACAGAAAAATCCCTGAATATTACGTTAACATATTCATATTGTTCGAATCCTGATATGTCAAAAAAGCGTATACCAAAAAAGTACGGCTCGGAATTCCTTCAACATTTTATCAGCGTACGATACTTCCATGATAGCAAATATGTCTACAAGTTTTTATCAAAATTCAATAAATAATTCTTAATATATTTAAATTTGCAACATGGGAACATAGATGAATTTGCATACGCGGAAAATGCAGGTACTCGCAGCGAGGGTAATAAAGCCTCTCCTGGCATCGCGAACATCATTTTGATGAATATTCCGCATATTTCATATAGACACAGGCTGCACGCTGAGCCTGATAATTGCACCGACAGACTAATTATTATTTAGCTCCGACAACACCGTTCGATAAATTGGTATCGTTACATCGCCTTTAACCTATAATCAACTGCCGAGCAAAAATACATTTCGTATCAGCATTTTAATAGATGGACGATGACTCGTAGATCGAGAACGAGACTTGTGTAGTCCACTCCCACGATCGATCTTGAATCGGATGACAAATAAATGTATCCGTGACCAACCGCGTACAGCGTCGTTCCATGCTTGTACGAGGGTGTTCCGGTAAGTACTTACCACCACTAAGAGGAACTCGTACTCACCATACTTGACTTGAATATATAATATAATAATATAAAAATTAATTGCTTCAAAAACAAGTCGTCGATGTGTCAAGTCATTAGAGGGCCTCAAAACATATCGAATAAACCCCTATATGTGTGGTCCCAAATTTTATAGTACAGGAGATATTTGCAATTTTCTGAAATTTCGAAAAAAAAACGGGATAATGAACTTTCAATCGCAATTACAACTAAACCATTAGGTTTACGGATGTGATTTTTTTCTTCTGAGATGAGCTAAATGGCTAGTTTTAGCAATGGTTATGTCATTTTTTAACAGAGCTTATTGGAAATGATGTGGTACAGGAAGTGAAAATGAGTAACTGAAAAAACAATTAATAAAAATGTGTCCGCGGACACCCTGTTCATCTATCTATAAGCCACTTTCTTATTCGCAGTGTCTTGCATCGAACTCATAATCACTGATATAGCCGTAGCACGTACAATATTAACTTTGTGTCTTAATTTTTGGTTGCAGGGATGCCAGATTGTCGAGGTAAAGTTTTAGTGCTGTTAAACATCTCCAAACTCCTTATTTTTCCGATAACCCGTTTGGTTTAGAAACGCTAACATTACTATGAAGCATAACAGCTTTACCTATGCTTTGGTAGACGCTTGACCAAAACCGAGGCGTGCCGAGGCCCGAAAACATAAAATTACGAACAGCTGCAAGACACTAGAGGGTTTTCCATTAAGGACTTGACAACTTTCTTTTTCAATAAAACGTAAACCATTTGAGATATCTCCAATATTTCATTATTGGATTGAAGTGTACTCAAAACAGTTATGTATGGAATTCGACCTCGTTCATATTGTAGCGTTTTTCTGGGCGTGGATTAAAACACTGGATTCCACAAAAAGAAATGCACTAATTTATTTACCTTGAATAGACAGGACATTTATGTCTGACTAATTCTTATGTCGCGCCATTGACTGAACTATACTCCACTCTGCTCTAATCTACTCTGCTTCCCTCGAGTTATATAGTTCGCATCGTTGGGTCGAGAAAATTCCGGTGAGCCACAAAGCGGCCTTCCAGAATCGTCGAGGTCACTTCGCGTCGATCTAGAAGGCGAGTCACTCACACGGTCGTCAACAGACGTCGCCAAGCGGCATGTGCGGTCGTGATGCGCGTAAAAGCTGAGATCGGCCATGAAGCTCTGGCGAGTAGGAGAGTCTCCCAACAGATGGCGCCACCAGTACTATTCATTCTTGTTACAGTATGTCCACCATAATGTTTTAATGTAGCCCCACAAAAAAAGTCTATAGAGGTGTTAAATAACACGATCTAGGCGGCCATCCGACAGGGCTATTTCTCGATATAACACGTTCACCGAATTTTGATTTCAGTATGTCGATTGTGTGGCTTGAAATTGGTCATTTTCTTGCAACATTTCTGGAGCCCAATTCGAGGACGTACGTCGGTTCATAAGATCGAACGGCTTCAGTTCTTGAGTTAACTGGATATTATAAGGGCAGGCACCGACTCGGAATTTCGGTAGTACATTTTAATTACTTGTAAGCCTTGTTCGTTCATGTACTTCACCATGATGAAAGTGTTTTCTTTTCTGAACGTTTTGACGTTGACAGTTCGGTAACTGGTTTAAAGGTTCGTTCACAGTGAAAGTTCAAAGTTGTCAATTCCCTATCGGAAAACCCGATACCTAGATCACGGCTTGTCTCTTTTCAAAGTATCCTGATCCAAAGTACGACGACGACGCACAATCTTTCGAGTTTTTATATTGATTCTAACGTTTTGCTTGAGCTGATAGCACGAATAGGAACATGGAATTTCTGCTTCAGCTTTTCTTTCAGTCTTCGTTGCAGACATTGAACTTTAGCAATGTTTTTTTATAGGTTGGATCGGAAGTCGTCGCGTGGTATGCTATACGAGAATGAGGAGTTGAGGCTGAAAACAATCAACATCAATGCGGAAGTCGAAAGCAGTAAGTATAAAGGATACACCAACTTTTTACTTACCCCCAGGAAGCGAAATTTGCGCCTGGGTCACAAATCACAAAGCTTTATACGAAACGGATCGCGTACAATAATTTCTCCGTTTTAACCGAAGTTGTTCGGGAAATCGGCGCACGATCCGCCGGTGGTTCCCCTTTCGGCGTTAGCGTCATGAGGTTCGCTGCCCAAGCGCGTTTGCGGAATTCACTGGTATGTGTGCGTGTATGTTTGTTTCAGTCAGGTTCATAACGTGGAATACCAATTTCCGGACCGATTCTCAAGCAAAATGCAGTCAACTTAAGTGAAGAATTGCTAGTTATTGAGGTGCCTGATAATGAAGTCACCAGCCTCTAATGTATGAAAATACAGCCACATACGAGGAGGTACCCAAAAATAACCGGAATAGCATTGCAGTGGGCGGAGCTTGTGTAGTACACATTTCTGCCCCTAGAGGCGTACAGCGCAACCCATTACCAGTGCAGTGCCACCTGAGTTGTCGATCTGGCTTCAGTGAGCAACGTGCAGCTGTGAAATTTTGCTTTCTAATGGTAAAAATGCTGCTGAAACTGTTTTTATGTTGAAAATAGCTTACGAAGGCATGAAAGGACGCCACTTTGACGACATTGAAGAGGTCAAGGAACAAATGAGGCAGGAGCTGTCAGACATTTCTAAGGAAGACTTCAAAAAAATGTTTCGAGCAGTGGACAAGTATTAGTTGTAGTTGACAGTATTGTGAAGGAGATAAGGTTACTTTGTGAAAAAGTTGAAAATAAATAGCTTTTAAAAATAATTCGGAATTTTTTTTGCTACCCCCTCGTACCTATTTTGCCACCAAGACAGATTTTCACAGTTTCTAGTCCCTAATGTACGAAAATACAGCCATATATTTCACAGTAAACTCATCTACTATAAATACTTCCATGGTAGAAAACAGACCGCTTAGTCTAAATCCCTCCATTCACTTTGTCACCGTAAGGGCAAGAAAGAGAACAGATAGCTTTTCATTAGGGCCTGTACTTTGGCTTCGCTAAGCTTTATCTCGGTCTCTATACTTTGAAGCAGCATAAAGTAGAACAAACTCCAAAGGCGTAAGGGAAGAGAGACAGCCTCTCACCTGTTCGGTCGTTGAATTCGCGTCCTGTCAGTTTGCTTTTAGGGCAATCAAACGCGAAAAAAGCCGAGATAAAAGGAAAAAGGGGATCTGTGATGTTTCCCTGTTTCGGAACGGACGGATATGAATGCATATAAGCCGTAGAGATGAGTTTTAGGTGGCTGTATATGTGAGACGATGATAAGATTTTTTTGTGTTTGGGGTGAACGAAGAGTGAGAAAGGAGGTGAATATGGTTATTGGTTTGAGAACGCGCAAGTATTCATTTATGATTGCATACCCAAGTGTCGACGGAACTGTAAGGCTGTGACTCACCTGAAACAAAATAAATGTGAATTAGTTTTATTTTGTACAGGGTGTTCAACTAAGAATGTGAAGTACTGTATCTGGGAACCTGTCCATCGTAGAGGCTGGCGAAAATGAAAACAACTAAAACGGTCATGAGAAAAACCTGAGTAACTTGAATCTAAAAAAGTGATGTTTCTGTGAATTCCTAACCAAAAAATATCTGATCTGTGAAGTCGAGGATAATGTGAACTTTTTGTATTTGAAAATTTTTGATGTATCTCTAAAAATAAACTGGTGGGGGGTATTCAAAAGTGCTATTTTTGGGCTACAAATGTTATAATATATGGGGTTGTCCAAAACGGAAGCAGGAAAGTAAACGCATATTAAAACAAGAAAGATTGATATTCAAATCAAGTTGGGTACTTTATTTTGAAGGTTCATTTATAAGATTTATGTATGAAAAATAATATCGCTCAAATGTTCACCACGACTGGATTTACAGACGTCCACGCGATGGTCGAAATTTTCAATGACATTTTGCAACATGGTCGGTTCTATGGCATTTATCTCGGCAATGATGTTGCTTTTGAGTTCTTGGAGGGTGGCTGGTTTGTTGACGTAGACTTTGCTTTTCAAATATCCCCATAAAAAGAAGTCCAAGGGAGTCAAATCGCACGATCTTGGTGGCCATGGCACATTTCCTCTGCGCGAAATCACGCGATCACCGAAGAAGGACTGCAATCGATGGATATTGACGTTGGTTGTGTGGCATGTTGCACCGTCTTGTTGGAAATAAACATCGTCCATATTCATTCCTTCAAGTTGCAGAAAAAAATAGTCCTCTATCATCACGTGATATCGCTCAGAATTGACGGTAACGGCGTCCCCGGCCGCATTTTCGAAAAAGTAAGGTCCGATGATGCCTTTTGACCACAAGGCACACCCCACAGTCACTTTTTGAGGATGCATCGGCTGCTCTTGATACTCACGGGGATTTTCGTTCGCCCAGATGCGGCAGTTTTGCTTGTTTACCGTCCCATTCAAAGTGATATGCGCTTCGTCGCTGAACATGATTTTTGATGAAAAATTGGCATCAATTTGGCGGTGTTCAAGGAGCCAATCTGAGAACGTTCGACGCAGCTCTTGCGTCAATTGGATCTTGTAGGCGTGTACATTCAAATCCTTGTGGAGAATGCGGAGCAAACTGGTTCTCGAAATGCCCAATTCTTGGGATCGACGCGTTGTTGATTGTTTCGGATCGTCTCTCACACTCTCCTTCACAACAGCAATATTTTCCGGTGTGCGAACGCTCCTTGGCCGGCCAGAGCCTGGCAGATTTGCCACAGAACCTGTTGCCTCGAATTTACGCACCAGACGACCGATGGTTGTTTCGTTTGGGCGGTTGTTGCGACCGAAATGTTCACGAAGCGCGCGAAACGTGTTTTTTATTTTTGCACCATTTTTGTAGTGCTCTTGAATAACTTTAATGCGGTCTTCAATCGAATACGACTCCCCAGCGATCAATGGTAAACATTCAACTAACAAAATGACATGTCGGTGACAGAAAACAAAGATGGCGTCTAAGTCAAATTGACGTTTACTTTCCTGCGTCCCTATTGGACAACCCATATATAAATTTGTTAGTTTCACATGTGGCTAGAGGGCTTTTTTCGACATTCCGACAGAATTATTTTTCTCAAGAAAATTAAATGCAGTGGTATGATTTTTTTTTATGAAAAAGAAGCTAAATGATGTCTAAACAAGCTCGCGAATACCGCATCTCGATATCTTGGACCTATCCTAAAATTTAGGACAAAGAAGATTCTATACGGAAATCCGTTAAATTTTTATTTTTTAGAACCTATTTTTTTGGAATCCCTTTTATTCATCAGAATAAAGGCACCCTTTTTGAAAATATTACAAAACATCTCTAAAAGGTAAGTAAGTAATGCGAATATTTTTTGTTTACGGTAAATGCTGGAGAGACGCCGCACTTTTTGAAAAATAGGCGTAATTTCCTTAATTTTTAACATTTTTATTTAAAAATGAATCAATACACAGATCTTGCTTTAAACTGTATTGAGATACAAAAATAAACTTAAATTCTAAAGAAACATAAACATGTCAGATTTTTTTTTTTATTACTGGTACTTGTTTTCGTTCATTTTTTGGTATTTTCAGTTTCTTTTTCTTTTCTGCCACATTGGTTGTTTTATGATTGTCAAGGCTCTTTTTTAGGTTTCCGGGTGATGTTAACACGGTTGCGCTTTGCTGGAACCTTTGTTTAAAGGATACAGGTACTTTTGGACAAATAAAATGTAACTTTGAATTTAATAAAAGTCAAGGCAAAATAATGACCTTGAAAAAATAACACGGGGCAACTGTCATCTTTGTTGGGAGAGATGCCACGTTTACTTATCAAGATAACGAATTTAAACATAACCTCAAAACACTGGAAAAACCTTACGAATATCAAACAAACCTTAAAGATCCCCAAAAATCCCAAAGATTCAAACATTCCTATAGACACTGACACGGACATTTACAAACCTTGCGTTAAGACTATTGCAAAGGGAGATCTGTAATTATACTGCGAGAACTATGCTTTTTCTCACAAGCTACACGACACAAGTGAAAAAGTAGCATTATTACTCCATTCCCGTGAAAAGTACAGAACACTCTTCGACATCGCGTTTGTATTACTGTTGCAGGGCAATCAGATATAAAGAAACTGAAAAGGGAGAACGAAATGCTGAAAAAGGGCCTTTGGTATCTGCGAGACGAGTACGACAAACTGGAAAGACTGATCAAAGATAAAAAAATCGATTTCTCCTCATCGTCTACGACGTGCACAAGCTCCAGCGACTCGGTAAGTGTATTTCACAACTGCTATACAGGGTGATTGTTGCAAATAGTCACCATACAACTCAATAAATAAAGTGCTGCATCTCAGGTTCTACAGTGGATGAAGAGAAGCATTTTTCAGCTTGAAGTTTATTGCTTTTTGAATCTTTCAGTCAAAAAATGTTCATCTCTGAACCTTATATAAAAGATGCATAGTTATCGAGGTGTTCGGCGCGTTCGTGTTCTTTTAAGACGTACACATTACTATTGACTAACAATTGCCTGACCTCATGCATGAAAATGGATTACGATGTAAAACCTCTAGTTCGACAAGAATCTGCTCCCAAAAATGGTTACTTTTTGAATTCACAAAGTTGACCTCCAAATGACCTGTGAGGTCAGTATCTAGGTCATACACAATACACTGCTTATTTCATAACTTGAAACTTTTCTCCAAGTTTGTTTACTATTTGAATTTACAAGTTGACCTCCAAATGACATCTAAGATCATTGTTTGGGTCATATCTGCGGTCATCGACAAATGGCATTTTTGATACCCTGCGGCTTTTCTTAAAACCTTTTTCCAACAAATACGTGGTTGGCAAGCTTTCGGAGTATTTATGTACTTTTCAGACGTCAGAAGGTCATACTGATTGAAACACTGATGACCACATGACCTCATGTATGAAAATGGATTATGATGTAAACAGTTTAATACGAATACCCTACCAAAAATGGTGGTTACTATTTGAATTTACAAAGTTGACCTCCAAATGACCTCTGAGGTCGCTGTATAGGTCATACCCAATAAATTGTTTATTTGCTGACTTGAAACTCGAGCTAGACACGAATCTGCTGTCAAAAGTGGTGGTTGCTATTGAATGTCAAATGTTAACCTCTAAATGACCTGCGAAGTCATTGTCTAGGTCATGTCTGAGGTCATCCACAACTCTTTGTTTCATATCCTGATACATTTTTTTAAACGGTTTTTAACCAAAAAATGCATGCTCATCGAGTTTTTGGTGTGTCGTGTACTTTTCAGACGTTTCAGTAGGTCATGCTGATTGAACCGCAGATGACCGCTTGACCTCATGTATGAAAATGAATATAGGTCATACCCAATAAATTGTTTATTTGATAACTTGAAACTCGAGCTAGACACGAATCTGCTGTCAAAAGTGGTGGTTGTTATTGAATGTCAAAAGTTAACCTCTAAATGACCTCGGAGGTCATTGTCTAGATCATGTCTGAGGTCGTTCACAATTTTTTATATCCTGAAACATTTCTTCTAGCCTTTTTTACCAAAAAAATGCACGTTTATCAAGTTTTTGGTTTGTTGTGTACTTTTCAGACATTCCAGTAGGTCATGCTGATTGAACCACTAGTGACCGCTTGACCTCATGTATGAAAATGAAATCTGATGCGGAATCTTGAGCTAGACACGAATCTGCTTTCAAAAATGGTCGTTGCTATTTGAATTTAGAAAGTTGACCTCCAAGTGACCTCTCAGGTCATTGTCTAGGTAATATCTGAGGTCGTTGACAAATGATTTTTTTTATGTCAAGAAACATTACATTTTTTTTTAAAGAAATGGTTATCGAGTTTTCTGGGTATTTGTGTACTTTTCAGAGATCAGAAGGTCATTCCGATTGACCACTGATAACCACATGACCTCATGTATGAAAATGGATTATGATGTAAAGTCTCGAGTTTTGTACGAATTTCCTTTAAAAAATGGTGGTTTCTATTCGAATTTACAAAGCTGACCTCCAAATGACCTCTGAGGAGCTGTATAGGTCATACCCAATAAATTGTTTATTTGATTACTTGAAACTTGAGCTAGACTCGAATCTGCTATCAAAAGTGGTGGTTGTTATTGAACGTCAAAAGTTAACCTCTAAATGACCTCCGAGGTCATGTCTGAGGTCATGCACATTTTTTATATCCCGCAACATTTCTTCTAGTCTTTTTTACCAAAAAAATGCATGTTTATTAAGTTTTTGGTGTGTTGTGTACTTTTCAGACGTTACAGTTGGTCATGCTGATTGAACCACTGGCCACCGATTGACCTCATGTACGAAAATGAAATCTGATGCAGAATCTTGAGCTAGACACGAATCTGTTTTCAAAAATGGTCGTTGCTATTTGAATTTAGTAAGTTGACCTCCAAGTGACCTCTCAGGTCATTGTCTAGGTAATATCTGAGGTCTTTGACAAAACAAGAAACATTCCATTTTATTTTTTTTAAAAAAGGTATGGTTATCGAGTTTACGGGGTATTTGTATACTTTTCAGACGTCAGAAGGTCATACTGATTGAAACACTGATGACCACATGACCTCATGTATGAAAATGGATTATGATGTGAAGTCTCGAGTTTGGTACGAGTTTCCTGTCAAAAATGGTGGTAGCTATCTGAATTTACAAAGTTGACCTCCAAATGACCTCTGAGGTCATTGTCTTGGTCATATCTGAGGTCACCGCCAAATTGCTTTTTTGAAACGCTGCAGCTTTTCTTAAAAACTTCTTCCAAAAAATGCGTGGTTGCCAAATTTTTGGGGTGTTCGGGTATTTAATAGTATGACTGAATTTTGATAAAACAAGGTTGACATTGATCATAAATTTAATTTTATGATCGTAAATGGAAAACACGATGAATCAACTAGACAAGCTTCCATTGCAACATTAACGACTGTAGGTATGCAGTTTCTTCCACTATAAGGAAATCTCAACAATGAATTCAGCTCAGTACAAGCACTGAGAACAATCCCCACAGTTTGCAAGAACGACGTGTATAAAATTGCATTGTCTCACCGAACGTAAATAAAATCTAAAGCGGCGCATCACGTCTCGACGCCGGTAGTAGTCCAAGTTCCCCTCTATTTTATTAAATTTACGACCGTCGGCGTCGTTCACCCCTTTTGCCCGCGTTGTTTGCATTACGCCCATTAAAAACGTGGAACCAAGGCGTCTGGTTTTTTATTTGCGTTCCCATGACTCCGAGTTGAATAGTTATATTTTTGTGTTTACTAATTAAAAAAAATATACCTATGTATAAATGTGAATGACTCTCAAATCTGTCAGCATAACTTAGGAGATACGTTGCCAGATCGGCGGTGCTCTTGTGTAGCAGGTCAGCGGCCATAACCTGCGTTAGTGAAGCAATTTCACACGCAGTGCTGGTGTTTGCCGGGTTGTGGAGATTTCGATCTCCATTGGTGAATTTGTAGCTATTTTTTGGATGCGGCGCGGAAAAACAGAGTCAACCAACTTGACGGCATTTTTGTGATGGTGGTGTTTTTTTCTTATTTCAGGATAGCTGCAGCTCGTGCAGTGACGACAGCGAAGAAGTAGAGACGACACAGAACATGAAGAACGACCAACGTACCAACATGACCCTCAAAGACAGATTCGATCACCTGTCAGTTGTCACCGAAGAGACAAGTGCTGAAAACTCGGAACCAAACTCCAACGGGGCGCAATTTATCAGCGAGGCGTGGGATAATTTTGAAAATGATAACGTCATTAAGCCTGATCAAAGCTATCCCGCGTATACGAATCAACGGTAATTTTTCTTGCGAAACAATTTTATGTGAATTTAGGGCTTACAGTATATATTTAGGTATGGCAAAATTTAGGTGGACGTCAAGAAAAAAACTAAACTCAGATCGTTTCTTCCAGTTTATGTCAGCCTCACACGATATCAACGCAAGCGAAAGTATCTCAAAACTTTTTCACGCCCATCAAACCTTCAAACAGTCAAGAACAAGTGCATCAGGTTGAAGGAGTTTTGTATCCCAGCGAAGTATACGATGACTTTATCAGCCCTGTAGGAAATATCCAAGGTAAGATATTTCAAACTTCAAAAATGCCCGTAAGACGTTTCTAAAAAGTCAGCGATCGACAAATATTGTTCTCTTCCTCAATTTGATATTTTTACCCAGTCCGGAGATACAATTTTTTATTTTGGACGTTACATGACAAAAAACATGTCATTCATTGGCTGCAACGTCGTGGAGGCCTCTGCCTACTGTGCAATGGATAACAAACTCCGACTGGTCTGCGGTGGTGTCGTCACTGACACACCGCTACAAGAGGTTGGAAGCTGTACGCGGTAAATGGTTGTAAATTGTTGCATTTTTGGTTTTAGTGAAAGTCCTTCTATTATTAGGAATCTGCTGATCTCAGTGATACTATACACATTTTAGACGCAATAAGTCAAACATATTTTCCCTACATGTGCCAGGGAAACGAAAGCGTAAAAAGCATAGAGTCAATCTATTTGACGCCATTTCTTGAGCTACGTAACACGGGTGCGTTCTTACTTTACAAATGATCCTAATGTCTTCTCCATTTTACATTTTCTGATCGAAAAAATCATGGTCCCATGTGAAAACAATGTTGATTGTTTTCTTTGCTTCGCGGGGCATTGTTCATCAGGAACTTCTCCCTCCTGACAGTGAACGTAAATTTACCTGGACAATTGTAAAATAAAGTTATTATTCCACTTTTATACTTATTTTATTTACCCTGTACTTTATCTTATATTACTGTTCTACAGATGTCCAAGAATTCCAAAACACGGAAAGCCTGCAAAGCGACCAAACTTATTTCAAACAGCATGAAGTTCCATACCACAACTTCACCAGTAAGACGATCGCTAGCAGCAATGCGACTAGTTTCTATCAAAACATGGTGCCGGTGCCAAAAAGTACTGAGCCTCAAGCAGAGACTGAACCGTTAGAAAAGTCGGCGGCTGATTTGATAGTGAAGATTGACAATCAGAATTTCAATAACGGCTTGGTGTTCAGCAATACGACGCCGAGTCACAGTACGTTTTCGAACGGTGGAAATTTGGAGGAGTTGCTTCATGATATCGAGTCGATTTCTCAAGTAAGTAAACACAGTATTATGATGTGAATGAGAAAAATCGCCAAACCGCCAACTATTTAATTTCTATCGTCATATCGCCAACAGGCTTTGCGGTTTACCAAATTTTGTTCCGTAAAATAAATAGATTGAAATTTATGCTCTGATCATATTATAAACAGTAATTCGTGTGTATTAGACTCATTAGTACCTACGCATGTATAAGGTATGAACAAGGTGAGAATGCACTACCTTGAAAAAGTATCTGCCTCGGTTGTGTTGTGCCAAGTGCCCGAAGCATCAAAGAGTAAGTCCGAAACTGCACGCATGCACGGATCGCGTGCAGCTCTATCTCTCTTACTACTCTACAGAGGATCTATAAAAGAATATATCAATCCTGGCGGATCTAATAAGGATACATATAATGGAAAACTGTTATCAAATTATTGCGTTGTCATCGGTCCCTGATACGTGTGCGAAGTTTCCAATTAATCAAACTTCTGGAAATTGGTGAAAAGTATATTCAACGATTCCGGCCCAAGCTAATAAAAGCGTGTTAAAAAACGAACTTACGAATGAGTGGCCGAATCGTTCACATTTCCTGGTTTTCAATTTGATATAAAGACCTAAGGATATTTGGACGTTGGCTGATGTTAAATCATGGAGAATATTCGACTGTGAGGATACTCAAAAGTGCAAAACCAAAACCACCATATCTGTTGTGTCTTTAAACTGCTAAGGAAGTATCAGAAAATACAGCGGAATATTCGTCAAACTTTAGTATCCTGATTGTAACCTTCTCTGACAGATTGTTGGATCGCTAATGAAAACTGATCTTTAACCGTTTACTGTCAATGTATAACAACTGTGTGCACAAGCAAAGTATGAGCCGCTATCTTACCAGCACAAAGTTCATTTACGAATACCCCAGTCGTGGCGAAGCAGTGGTCGAGATGGTGACGTCACGACTACAATTAACCACTTGAGCAACGACGGACATAAAATCAAACTCGCTACAACTTTCTTAAATGTAAAGACTTCGCAATTTTTTACGAGATATTATCCTGATTATAACCATCTCTAACAGATGGATCAATAATGAAAAAAATTCCCCTCATTTCTGATCTTTAACTGTCACTATCAACTGTGACACGTGACATATCAGCACAAGCAAATTAGGCGCAGCTATCTTACCAGCACAAAGTTCATTTACGGATACCTCAGTCGTGGCGAAGCAGTGGTCGAGATGGTGACGTTACGACTACAGTTAACCGCTCGAGCAACAAAGGATATAAAATCAAACTCGCTACAACTTTCTTAAATGTAAAGACTTCGCAATTTTTTTCGAGATATTATCCTAATTATAAACATCTCTGACAGATGGATCAATAATGAAAAAAACTCCCGTCCTTTCTGATTTTTAACCGTTATTTTCAATGTATAACAACTGTGACGCGTGACATATCAGCACAAGCAAAGTATGCGCCGCTATGTTACCAGCACAGAGTTTATATACGGATACCCCAGTCGTGGCGAAGCAGTGGTCGAGATGGTGACGTTACGACTACAGTTAACCGCTCGAGCAACAAAGGATATAAAATCAAACTCGCTACAACTTTCTTAAATGTAAAGACTTCGCAATTTTTTTCGAGATATTATCCTAATTATAAACATCTCTGACAGATGGATCAATAATGAAAAAAACTCCCGTCCTTTCTGATTTTTAACCGTTACTTTCAATGTATAACAACTGTGACGCGTGACATATCAGCACAAGCAAAGTATGCGCCGCTATGTTACCAGCACAGAGTTTATATACGGATACCCCAGTCGTGGCGAAGCAGTGGTCGAGATGGTGACGTTACGACTACAGTTAACCGCTCGAGCAACAAAGGATATAAAATGAAACTCGCTACAACTTTCTTAAATGTAAAGACTTCGCAATTTTTTCTAGATATTATCCTGATTATAAACATTTCTCACAGATGGATCAATAATGAATAAAACTCCCCTCATTTCTGATCTTTAACCGTCACTATCAACTGTGACGCGTGACATATCAGCACAAGCAAAGTATGCGCCGCTATCTTACCAGCACAAAGTTAATTTAAGGATACCCCAGTCGTGGCGATGCAGTGGTCGAAATGGTGACGTCACGACTACGATTAACCGCTTGAGCAACGACGGACATGAAATCAAACTCGCTACAACTTTCTTAAATGTAAAACCTTCGCAATTTTTTACGAGATATTATCCTCATTATAAACATCTGTGACAGATGGATCGATAATGAAAAAAATTCCCCTCATTTCTGATCTTTAATCGTTATTGTCAATGTATAACAACAGTGACGCGTGACATATCAGCAAGAGCAAAGTATGAGCCGTTATCTTACCAGCACAAAGTTCATTTACGGATACCCCAGCCGTGGCGAAGCAGTGGTCGAGATGGTGACGTCATAACTACAATTAACCGCTCGAGCAACAAAGGATATAAAATCAAACTTGCTACAACTTTCTTAAATGTGAAGACTTCGCAATTTTTTTCGAGATATTATCCTGATTATAAACATCTCTGACAGATGGCTCAATAATGAAAAAAATTCCCCTCATTTCTGATTTTTAACCGTTACTATCAATGTACAACAACTGTGACGGGTGACATATCAGCACAAGCAAAGTATGTGCCGCTATCTTACCAACACAAAGTTAATTTACGGATACCTCAGTCGTGGCGAAGCAGTGGTCGAGATGGTGACGTCACGACTACAATTAACCGCTCGAGCAACGACGGACATAAAATCAAACTCGCTACAACTTTCTTAAATGTGAAGATTTCGCAATGTTTTTCGAGATATTATCCTGATTATAAATATCTCTGACAGATGGATCAATAATGAAAAAAACTCCCCTCATTTCTGATCTTTAACCGTCACTATCAACTGTGACGCGTGACATATCAGCACAAGCAAAGTATGCGCCGCTATCTTACCAGCACAAAGTTAATTTAAGGATACCCCAGTCGTGGCGATGCAGTGGTCGAAATGGTGACGTCACGACTACGATTAACCGCTTGAGCAACGACGGACATGAAATCAAACTCGCTACAACTTTCTTAAATGTAAAACCTTCGCAATTTTTTACGAGATATTATCCTGATTATAAACATCTGTGACAGATGGATCGATAATGAAAAAAATTCCCCTCATTTCTGATCTTTAATCGTTATTGTCAATGTATAACAACAGTGACGCGTGACATATCAGCAAGAGCAAAGTATGAGCCGCTATCTTACCAGCACAAAGTTCATTTACGGATACCTCAGTCGTGGCGAAGCAGTGGTCGAGATGGTGACGTCACGACTACAATTAACCGCTCGAGCAACGACGGACATAAAATCAAACTCGCTACAACTTTCTTAAATGTAAAGACTTCGCAATTTTTTACGAGATATTATCCTGATTATAACCATCTCTAATAGATAGATCAATAATGAAAAAAATTCCCCTCATTTCTGATCTTTAACTGTCACTATCAACTGTGACGCGTGACATATCAGCACAAGCAAATTAGGCGCAGCTATCTTACCAGCACAACGTTCATATACGGATACCTCAGTCGTGGCGAAGCAGTGGTCGAGATGGTGACGTCACGACTACAATTAACCGCTTGAGCAACGACGGATATAAAATCAAACTCGCTACAACTTTCTTGAATTTAAAGAGATCGCGATTTTTTTAAGATTCATAAAGAATACGTGTTTGTACAGTATTTTCTTCTACAGGAAACTTCCTGATAGCATTGTATGTTAGCTCGGGAGATGGCTCAGCATAATCACACGGCAATTGTAAATACTCAAACAGTAAAATAGATGAAAGATAGATATATAGCATCGATTTTTCGTTAAAAAATATAATTTCCAAATTATAATCACTATCACGAATGGAAGCCATGTCTTTTACGCACTTGGCTATAACCAGCTAATCTAGTTTTTTTATTATATTTCATTTATGATTAAATTTAAGTCTCTTGTGCCTTTACAGGACAAAATTACTACGATTTTACCACAAAATGACCTAACTAGTTGTTTATATCCTTTGATCTATTAGCAGTAAATGCCTCATCGACCCAATACTGACTTCTAAATTACTTTGGTTTTATTCCCCGCTTTTGGAAAAAATCAAACGCCCCAGAGGGAACGTCCACATTTCAAATTTGAATTACTCGGCAACCGTATACGCGAGGAAGTGGCGAGAGGTTTTGATCGACGCGTTCGCCGTGCGGGTTAAATACTCACAATGGAACGTTGGACCGGAGCGCGACGTGCTTTTGCTATCGAGGCTTACTTTAAGAGTGGTGATTCATACGCAGCTGCCCTTCGGAAATTTTGTACATGATACCACATTCGCCGACCAAGTAAGAAGCTATTGAAAAAGTGAATTAAGAGGTTCCGTAAAACAGGCTCTGCTCTCAGTCAATTGACACTTTTTTGCTCCTATTGAAACACATGGTTCCATCAGGAAGGGGCCACTGCCCATACTTCCAGAGACGGTGAAAGCACTTTTCCCTCAAAAAGATATATCGAAGTTTGGAGACATTTACTGGCCTCCTAGGTCACCCGACCTCACGCTATGCCATTATTTTTGTTGGGTTATCTAAAGTCAAAAGTGTATTCCAACAATCCATGAACACTGGAGGAGCTTGAAGGCAACATTCGACGAGAAATAAACAACATAATTCCGGAACTCTGCAAGTGAGTGTTTCAGAAGTTTCTTGCGCGATTAGAAGAGTGTCCCCGAAGAAAAGGCAAACATTTGGACGGAATGATATTTAAGAAATTAAACTTGCCGAATTTACGAATATGTTGACAGTAATGAATACTTTATTTTCATCAAGTTTGTAACATCTATCCATGGTTGGCTTTCTGTGGTCGAACAGACGAGAGATACAGGGTGGCCCATAAGTCCTTTGAGCTGGAAAAAAAGGAATGAAACCAAACTAGTTACATTATGAAGAATTATTATATTTTGTTATCATCTTTATTGAATGGGAATTATGTTTTAAAAATCACATCGTCTAAATGCAATCCATTACGATCACGGCACTCATATAAACGACGTCTAAAATTGTCGATGACTGCGCGGCAAGTCAACACTGTAATGCTTGCCATTTCTCTTCGGATATTTTCTTTCAGGACATCAACTGATCGCGGAGTGGTGTCGTACACTTTACTCTTGAGGTAGCCCCATAAAAAGAAGTCCATTGGGGTCAAATCTGGACTACGTGGTGGCCAGGAAATGTCTCCTCTTCGAGAAATTACTTTGCTGGGAAAAAGTTGACAGACGACGGGCATAGAAGTGCTGGAGGTGTGGGCAGTTGCTCCGTCCTGTTGAAACCAGGTCTGCGTATTATAGCCTGGAAAATGCTGCAACGCTGCTGTCAAAAACTCTTCTATCATTGCTACATACCGCTCCGAAGTAACAGTTAATGCGCGACCTCTGTCGTCCTCAAAAAAATAAGGGCCTACGATGCCATGCGCTGACATAACAGCCCAATATGTAACTTTAGGACTGTGTAAGGGCTTCTGATGCTTACGCCTTGGATTTTCGGGGCTCCAATAACGGCAATTTTGTTTATTTACATGCCCGTTTAAATGGAAGTGAGCCTCGTCCGAGAACAACACATTATTGAGCGAAGAAAATCGATTCAACATTTCATTCGCAAAGTTTAGTCTCTGAATAGCGTCATTATCTTTTAATTCCTGCACTAACTGAATTTTGTAAGCGTGCAGACGTAAATCTTTCCTTAAAATCCGCTGTAAAGATGTTCTGGGTACGTTTAGTGCACTGGAACGCTTACGAGTAGACTGGGTAGGATTTTGACGAACAGACTGTGCCACAATGTTGATGTTTTCTTCAATACGAGTTGTCCTTGGTCGACCCCACCGCTGTTTATCTAACGTCGAACCAGTCTCTTCGAACTTAGCAACCCAGTTCTTAATCGTTTGAGCTGTTGGACACTTTGTAAAATTGTGTAAATTGTGGTATTCTCGATATTTACGCCGCGCAATGGTTGCCGAATCATTATTTTGATAAAACGCGCGCACACAAAAAGCACGATCCGCCCCAGTGAAACACTCCATGGCGACTGAATTCCCAGACACTGAAGATACTGCCTCCACCTCGCTTGCGCCGCTCACGCTCACCCGTTAAATTTTATTCAAATTTGAAATTTCAAAGGACTTATGGACCACCCTGTATATTACTAATTTTTTGCACCCGTATTTTGTCGATTTTTAATCGCGCTTCATGAAATCGGTAGATATTCTGTAACACCCTGTATATTAAGAATCTGAGCGCGCCCTTATGTTACCAACAGGATATTCTGAAGATCTCAAATTTGCAGAGGGGCGCTAACGACCAACAAAGGTTATCCGTCGCCCGCAATGAAGAAAATCAGGAGGAAAAGCCGTACAAAAGCGAACTGAATGTGGTGCTGATGCCTAATCCGATGCCGCTCATAGGATTCGACAAGTACAGGGAAATTAAAAGGTAGGGCAAAGGGCACGCCTTGCGGGCGACTTAATTAAGAATCGATCTTATTAAGGGTAGATAGTGGGGTGAGTTTAGTGGATAAAGCAGTTTTGGATGTACGAAGTTCGACACGGTTAAGGTGGGAGGCCGAATTCAGGCAGGGTGACATCAAGGAGGAGACCTAAGAGGAACAAAGTCGCTTTTTTTAGGGATGAATGTTTGTTAAAATTTGTTAATTTTTTCAAAAAAATTGAGAAACTATCAGGTAACCAAATAAGTTCGTGCGGTTGCTGTGTATCGCACATTGCCATGGATGTTGTTGATCGATAGCGATTGTTTGTTACCTGTTGTTACTTTAGTATGAATCCTTATTTTCTCACACACATAAAAAGTCGTTGAAAATTATTACATACCTAGTTTCAATAATTGAAAATGGCGACAAATAAAACAGTAATCCGAATTTGTTTACTGTACGAGTACAAACTTGGTACAAAAGCTGCAGCGGCCGCGCGAACAATATACTAAGTGACATATAAATCCGAACACCCAGTTTAAACGGTTTTATTTTAATAAAATTTTGTATAAGTACTTAATGAAGCATAATAAGTAAATGATAAAAATTTCAAAATGATTGCACTGCTTTAAAGCCCTTTGACCTTTAATAATGTGTGGATGCACCCTGATGTGCTACGCATTCTCCAACGCGCCTAGGCATGCTTCTGATCAGGTGGTCAATGTCCTCCTGTGGTATCTCATTCCAGGCAACCACCAACTCCTCTCGAAGTGCTTCTAGAGTCTGAGGAGGACGTTGCAAATTGAGCAATCTCCTACCCATCATATCCCACACGTGCTCAATTGGGGATAAGTCGGGAGATCTTGGTGGCCATGGTAACAATGGGACATCATTATGTTGAAAGAAGTCTATTGTGACTCTTGCAACATGTGGTCGGGCATTATCTTGTTGGAAAGTTGGATCTGCCAGGGTGTCAAGATAGGGTAAAAGATGGGGTTCTAGAACTTCGTGGATATAACGCTGCGCGTTCATGTTACCTCTGATGAAGATTAAAGGTGACCTGGAACCATAAGCTATAGCATCCCAAACCATAACTCCAACAGTGTGATGAACATGTCTTTCAACAAAACACTGTGGATTCCTCCTTTCACCACGTCGCCTTCTAACCCTGGCACGACCATCGTGCATGCCTAAACAAAATCGAGACTCGTAACTAAAGACAATACTGTTCCATTCCTGATCCCAGAGTGACCGTTGTCTGCACCACTCAAGGCGATTACGTCGGTGTTCTCGAGTTAAAGGGAGGACCCAGTGTGGCCGGTATGAAAACAAGCCAAAACTTCTCATTCGTCGGTAAACACTTCGCATGCCAATAGGTCTTCCGTGTTCTGCAAACCATTCATTTGCAATGGACCTGGTAGTGGAGAAACGGTCCCTTAAGGCCAATAATCTTAGGCGGCGATCTTCACGGTCTGTTGTTCTACGGCGGCGTCCAGTGCCCCTTGCTCTTTGCGTACGGCCTTCTCGAAGCCATGCCTGACAACACCTAACCACAGTGTCTACACTTCTTTGCACTCGAACTGCAATTGCCCGAAAAGAAAGTCCAGCTTCCCGAAGTCCCACTATACGGCCCCTATCAAACTCACTAAGTTGACGAAATCGTACAGGTCTCCGTACTCTAGGCATCGTAACCGATCGTAAAGGATGTCAAGAACCAAAATCCGCCAACGTTGATTCTTTACTGCGGCTGAAATATTCATTTCTAGAGCGTTAGTGAATTAAAAAAAAAGCAGTATAAAAACCGGAATGTCCAACTGATAAGGCTGAAAATTTTTTCACTTGTTGTTTACAGTAAGATAAATACATTCACCAACTTTGATTAAAATAAAACCATTTAAACTGGGTGTTCGGATTTATATGTCACTTGGTATATGTACCGCATTCGGAGATGATGCCGTTAGTGATCGAACAGCACAGAAGTGGTTCAAAAATTTTTCTTCGGGAGATCTCAGCTTGAGCGATGAACCGCACTCAGCGAGACCAAAAATCATGAACAACGAGGATCTTCGACAGGTTGTGGACGCAAATTCCAGGACAAGCTGCCAAGAACCTGCAGAAATGTTCAGAGTGAGTCCTGAAACTATTCGTCTGCATCTTCATCAGCTAGGAAAGACGTGGAAGTTAAACAAATGGGTCCCACATGAACTGACAAATGATAACATATCAAGTCGTCTTACCATTTGTTCAGCAAACATTTCAGGCAACGCTAATGAACCATTTCTTAATCGGTTATTAACCAGCGACGAAAAATGGATTATTCGCATTGTAAGCGTTCGTATCATTGGTTGTCGCCTACTGATTCGGTCCACACACGCCCAAGGCTTCCTTGTATCCAAACAAGGTTTTGTTGTGTGTTTGGTGGACAGCAACGGGAATTGTCCATTATGAGTTTTTCTAAAGGAGTCAAACCATCACTGCTAACCTGTATTGTGAGCAGCTTCAACGAGCACAAGCAGCACTCATCCAGAAACAGCCTTCGTTGATCAAACGGAAGGAAGTGATATTCTAGCAGGATAACGCCAAGCCTTATACCGCAAAAGTGACCCGAGAAAACATTTCTGAACTCGGCTGTAATAAATGCAGTCCGCCAATTTTTTGACTCCAAATCCAGGGATTTCTACAATACCGGCATACAAAAATTGGTTCCACATTGGCAAAAGGACATTGAATGTGATGGTAATTACTTCGACGAATAAATAGTGTCTTATTGTTTCTCAATAAAAATTTATACCTACTACGAACCGCACGAACTTATTTGGTTACTGACACTTTTTTAAGGATAGTCCAAAGATCAAAAAGATGCATAGATAAATTTCCAAATCAAAAATAGAGAATCTGACATCTTTGCTAAAAAAACATGACTTCCTTTAGTCACATTGTATAGGTGGATATACAGGGTGTCCGCAAAGTTGGGGTTTTCCTTTACACGACGTGTAGATCTTGAAAACATAAGCAATTTTTCTCAGTACCATATACACCAATGTCTTAAGGGAACCGAGATAAAGGGCTCTGCAACATCAAAAATATCTGAATACCGTCCTGTAGCCGCGACCCGCGACATCCCCGAGTGGTACTAGGACACTAGCTCAACCCGACGACAGAACTGGGTCGGGGTCAGTGTGTCAGGTCAGTATGCAACCTTCAACCGACGGTTACGGTCACGCGTGTAGAGGTAATCGCGTGGACGAGAATCCCTCAACAAGCACTAGAGACGTGGCTAGAGAAGTGCAAGTATCAAAAACTAAAGTGTGGCGAACGCTGCGTGAAGAGGGGCAATATCCGTTTCACGTCCAACGTGTACAAGCCCTTCAACCTGACGATTTTCCAGCAAGAGTGCGGTTTTGTGAGTGGTTGTTGCATCAACATGACAATAATCCGGACTTTTTGAAGTGCATATTGGTGACAGACGAATCTACGTTCACGCGTAATGGGGTGAATAACTTTCGCAACACTCATGTTTGGTCAGTAGAAAATCCGCACATTTTCAACAAACATTTTCGGTGAATGTTTGGGCTGGCATGGTGAACGGTATGCTCATTGGACCATTTATTCTCCCAGATCGATTGGACGGGATGCAATTCCTAGACTTTTTACGCAACATTTTGCCTTCCTTGTTAGAAGATGTGCCATTAAGTGTAAGACAATCAATGTGGTTTCTGCACGATGGTGCACCGCCCCATTTTAGACGCGAAGTGCGTGAGTTTTTGAATGAATTATTTCCGAATAGGTGGATCGGACGTAATGGACCCGTAGCGTGGCCTCCGCGATCCCCAGACTTACACCATGTGATTTTTTTCTTTGGGGAGAAATGAAACGCTTAGTGTACAAAACTGAAGTGCATACGGTTGACGAACTTCGTCTCAGAATTGAACAAGCTGGGGAGGGACTCCATTCTCAAAGCCTGCACCGATGCTTGGCTACGTCGTGCACTCACCTGTGTTTTTGAATCAAACGGCGATAACTTCGAACAATACCTATAAAGTACGTTTACCTAAAAACTGAAAACGCGGCAACGCCGTCATCAGCTGATTTCATTTTCTGTTGGAGCGGTATGATTTCGGGCAGAGACGTACTTAGCCCTTCTCCTCAACTGGAGAGTGAGTACTTTTTCCTTTATTTCTTTTTACTTGGTCGCCCTCGTTTCACTACACATTACCTTTGTTATTTCAAGGGTAGTTGTTTCTGAAAAGGAAAACCCCAACTTTGCGGACACCCTGTATAAAAGAAATACAGGTTGATTCACAAGTCATGCCCAAATAAAATAACAAATTCAAAGCGCCTTGAGGCCTTGATTCCAACTTGACGTTTCTTGGGAGATAGTTTGTCATATTACGTTTTATAGGGTTGTTATCGTTACTACTACCTTTTTTGGAAAAGTCAAGTCAAAAGTTTCTTCTTTCAATTTTTGGCGTTAAAAAGATGCCGCAATGAGTAAAAAGTGGGTCAAACCTACAACCTATAAATATTTTATTGTACCTAGGTGTACAAATACTAGCATATCAGCAGTATTAGAAAGAAGTGGTGCAAGGTAATGAATAGGGACGATAAATTGCCCCTGACGGAAAAATCAACGTTGTTTTGCTGTGAATCCCATTTTGATGTAAGCAGCTGTTTAGCTAATACCTGTGATATAAATGGTAGCAATAATAATAATTATTATTAGTCTTAGTCTGTATGCCTCGCATGATAAGGTAAAGAATCTAAATGATTTAAAGGAGAACAGAAATAGATTTGATTATTGCTTTCATTTCGCGATAGTGTGAGTACTTGTATAGTGATCATCTTGTGGCTGTAAGGGGAACACTGTTCAAACCTTGTTTGCGACGACGCGGCGATGCATAGACGACGGTCAAGTCTGGGCTTAATCTGTAATCATCTGAGAGGCTTCTATGCATTTTAGATTACTGCCAATAGTAGATAATCTGGCCTTTGTCCAGTAGCACTTCACGGAAGTGCAAGGTGGTTTTTCGATTCTTCTGTGCAGCCACATTGATAGCGCTACACCTTGCTTACAGCCACCCTCTTGTGCAGCACAACCATTGCATTCTAGCTTGATTACCGTTTCCTTATTTTCGACACATTCAAAACTGCAGTGATGCGGATTGCTTTTATTTAGAAGAATCCTTCATTTTCGGTCACTACTTGTGAATCATCCTATATATCTTGTGCGTGTTCTCAAATAGTTGGTCAAGAACCTCCCGAATACATCAACTCGATATCGCTTTCCATTCCGAAAATATCGAGATTTGAATTTAGGTAAAATTTTCCATGTTGCAAAACTATTCACTAGTTCAGATCAGAAATATGATATCGGTTTATTTCCAGAAGTTTCGAAAGCGTCAACGCCAAACAACCCGATGACACGATGTCGATGTCACAACCGGAACTACGCTTCATTCCACCCGCGCCGCCCTTTCCGCAAGCGCAAAGTCCGGGATTGCAAGCGCAAAGCCCCGAAATTGCTGAATGCGAAGCGGAACAGAATCCGTTTTTCTTCGGTCATTTCAAGGACAACTACGTCAGTTCGGATTATTTCAATATGAGGTACAATCCGGAGACTTTCGATATAAAGGAGGAACAGAAGGAAACCGGTAAGTACGACCATATTTTTCAATTCCTCGAAATAAGATGCATGCTGAAAATATGCGTTAGTTTATTCTCTACGCCCAAATAACGGTTTTATTTTTGAATAGTGTCGAATCTGTTTAAGATCGATTCTGAATCGGCTCCATTTTAGGTCAGCATCGCCACAAATTCTGCAACATTGCATCATAAGTTCACTTGGCAGTAACCTAACCTATTGTAGACGCATGTGAGAACATTTTCTGGTGCAACGCGGCAGATTGCACGACGTTCTGCGTCACCGTTGCTAGGCAACGTGATGATGATCTTCGCTCTTCAGCAGGCTTCTATCTCTTTCTAACATGTGTTAAAACAGGGTTCTCGCGCGTCTTTCTCGTACACGTTAAACTCAAGCCGTCAGAGAAGTTTGCTTTTCCTCGTATACAGGGTGTTACTCAATGATAGGATATATAGGGTGTAAGCGCTACGATAGTCATTATTGAAATGGGTGATAAGAGGGTCAAAACACGTCAAAAAATTCATATGACCCATGCTCCAAAAGTCAATAGATTTTTGTCTAGATGGCTTTATATACTAAGTGACATATAAATCCGAACACCCAGTTTAAATGGTTTTGTTTTAATAAAATTTTGTGTGGATGCACCCTGATATGCTACGCATTCTCCAACGCGCCTAGGCATGCTTCTGATCAGGTGGTCAATGTCCTCCTGTGGTATCTCATTCCAGGCAACCACCAACTCCTCTCGAAGTGCTTCTAGAGTCTGAGGAGGACGTTGCAAATTGAGCAATCTCCTACCCATCATATCCCACACGTGCTCAATTGGGGATAAGTCGGGAGATCTTGGTGGCCATGGTAACAATGTGACATCATTATGTTGAAAGAAGTCTATTGTGACTCTTGCAATATGTGGTCGGGCATTATCTTGTTGGAAAGTTGGATCTGCCAGGGTGTCAAGATAGGGTAAAAGATGGGGTTCTAGAACTTCGTGGATATAACGCTGCGCGTTCATGTTACCTCTGATGAAGATTAAAGGTGACCTGGAACCATAAGCTATAGCACCCCAAACCATAACTCCAACAGTGTGATGAACATGTCTTTCAACAAAAAACTGTGGATTCCTCCTTTCACCACGTCGCCTTCTAACCCTGGCACGACCATCGTGCATGCCTAAACAAAATCGAGACTCGTCACTAAAGACAATACTGTTCCATTCCTGATCCCAGAGTGACCGTTGTCTGCACCACTCAAGGCGATTACGTCGGTGTTCTCGAGTTAAAGGGAGAACCCAGTGCGGCCAGTATGAAAACAAGCCAAAACTTCTCATTCGTCGGTAAACACTTCGCATGCCAATAGGTCTTCCGTATTCTGCAAACCATTCATTTGCAATGGACCTGGTAGTGGAGAAACGGTCCCTTAAGACCAATAATCTTAGGCTGCGATCTTCACGGTCTGTTGTTCTACGGCGGCGTCCAGTGCCCCTTGCTCTTTGCGTACGGCCTTCTCGAAGCCATGCCTGACAACACCTAACCACAGTGTCTACACTTCTTTGCACTCTAACTGCAATTGCCCGAAAAGAAAGTCCAGCTTCCCGAAGTCCCACTATACGGCCCCAATCAAACTCACTAAGTTGACGAAATCGTACAGGTCTCCGTACTCTAGGCATCGTAACCGATCGTAAAGGATGTCAAGAACCAAAATCCGCCAACGTTGATTCTTTACTGCGGCTGAAATATTCATTTTTAGAGCGTTAGCGAATTAAAAAACAGCAGTATTAAAACCGGAATGTCCAACTGATAAGGCTGAAAATTTTTTCACTTTTTATTTACAGTAAGATAAATACATTCACCAACTTTTATTAAAATAAAACCATTTAAACTGGGTGTTCGGATTTATATGTCACTTAGTATAGTTTATCGATCACAATCACCACAATCTTACTAATTTTTATAATCTAATCTAAAAGGTTTTTAAATTGGGTAATTAACAAATAAATGGCATTAAGTTTTTCTAAGTTAAGCCAAAATGTGAGTCAGTAAGTAAGTTTCTTAAATTAAATATTTAAAACACACATGACAACAGAGAACGGTCTTCCATCACTCTTATCGAACTGGCAATCCATCGCAAACGGTAACAGTGGTTAGTTATCGTTTTGCATACATAAATTACTTCTGATCCTCGAAAATGGCCAGCAAGAAATCCTGACTTCAATCCGATGGATCTCTGGTATTGGGGAGAACTTAAAGCGATGGTTTATGGGGCTGGCCCAATAACAACTGAAGCACAACTTCGCGAAAAAAATTTTAATTGACAAAAAAATGTAAGTCACCGACTTTTTAAAAAAGTATATTTTTTTTCGTATTAAGCAGCTGATGATACAACATTTTTGTCTCTTGGTATTTCTTCGTATCTCACTTAGTTTTCGAAGGAAAAATGTAAAAAAAACTTTGATTTCTGCTATTTTTGACTTTCTCTGCTGGTTTCTAATTAGTTTTTCTCCGTCAAGAGGTGTGTTTTTTGAACTCTGACACCCTGAATCTTGAAAACAAGATTTCAAGGGGACACGCTCACATGAACTTTGCTACTTGAAATTGTACTGATGGGGTTTTGTTCAAAACTATACTTTTCTACGTATTATTACTACTGGTACTACTAGTAATCGTTTTTCACTTTGCAAAGCGGATGTCTTTTGAATTTTGCATACCGACATGAAAACGGCAAAGCTCAATTTAGAAATCAATATCTATTTTTATCGTACCCAGGTGATTATTATGCACAACAGTTGGATCATTTAGCCTGCCCCACTATATTGATTACATTGCTCGACAATTTTAATTGAAAGTAAACGTCGGACGGTGCCTGATTCAAATGCAAATTGTCCAGAAACAATAGCTGCCGATTCAATACGTACGATAAACATCTATTCTTGGTATAACTGTTCTACTGATAGCATCTAGCGTACTGTTGCATTATATGTGCTCCTCATTATACGACAAAATTGATATGTTATTATTTATTGAGACATCATTATCATAGAGCTGTACTGCAATTCCATCCTCATCAACTTTTTACGTTGATTAGGCGTTTTTTACAAATATTTACGTGTTCCGTATTAAAAATGAAAAATATGTTTTTTTTTTAATTAGACATACTGAAATCCATTTGAAAGCTTCCCACCACGGATTTATCGAAAAAGACTGATGAAAAGAATGCGGAAAAAATTCGGGTTGTGATTTAGTTGTTGCCACGTCTAATCTTCCGAATTGCTGTTTATGTTGGTAGTTTCCATTTCAAATTATAAACGAATTGTAGATTTGTCAAACCCCAACGTGCAACATTTTGAACATTTATTGAAATAAAAAGTGTATTTTCGTGTATTTTTGATTTCTATCTGATAAATAAAGATTTTTATAATTTTCTCGAAAACAAATTGATCTCAAAAAATCAAACGTCAAAATAGAGGTCTTCGGAAGAGCTTAGAAACAAGCTATTACTCGATATCCCTTGTCGTTTAAAATTTTTAATGGAATAACCCTGAAGTAGTTTTTGGTTAAAAAGTTGTCCGCCTTGACAAATCTTTTGACGTGCGTCGGCGCTTTTTCTTTTAATCACTGGTTTTCGATAAATCCGTGCTGGGAAGTTTTCATATGAACATCCTGTAGGTATTTGGTTTAGCTAAGGCAAATACTGTAAAAAATATTTATTATACTTCGAAGTTGAGTCATTTATTTTAACAGTGAGTAGATCTGATCAAAAGAAATGTTTTTTTCCTTTACCATTTTTCTGGTGAAATTAAAGTAACAAAGTTATAGCCCTTTGGAAGTTTGAGTACCGCCCTGTCTCAATAATAATATCATGTGGTCGTGTTTGGCAACAACGGATATAATCCGCCTTACCGGTTCATCGCATCGGAAACAAAAAAGCGAAAGAATTTGGAACGATGTTTTTACAATAAATTACTTTATTCAGTTCAGTTATACATACAGTCAGTGTCAGTCGGTTAGCGTGTGAATAGTGTCTGTTGCGTGGCTCAAACGAAATAAAAAATGGCACATGTTTATGCGGATCGGTTTCCCAATCGAGTGCAACCAACCCCTCGTGCCTTTGTTAATGTAGTACAACGGGCTCGTGAATCAGGTGACTTAAGACCTCACAGGGGATCTCACGATCAAATACAGGTCCGCACTGAAATACTTGTCGGGAGGATACTTTATAAAACAAGGTAAACATTTTTTTTTAATTTTTTTTTATTTTTACACACATATTCTGGTTTATCTTCCTTCTACAATCATTATCTGAAAATTAATGACTCAACTTCAAAGTCACCCTGTATAAGATTAGATATGAGTAGCCTAATGTCGTTCTTCGATCATTCTTGCAAAAAAGTCTAGAACATATTTCTAGATATCCATCGATTGAAATACTACAAATACTCAGTTTTACTTTCAGTATCATCGGTCCAAAAATCAAGTTCGAAAACGAACCTCATCGAGCTGACCTCATCAGAGCATGTTTCAAGTGAAAACGAAGAAAACCTCAGATTTAGGGCACCTCGACCGGGACCATCAGACGACAAGGAGCATCAAAAGACTGACCCACAGAACCCACTAGGAAAATTACCAAAGCTTACACTTAGGAAGAAAGTCAGTATACATTTCAAAGGTGAGTTAACATCAAAATATTGGGTTTCGATGTACAAAAATGAGCGATCCAAGTTGCACATACCTCTGACATTTTCTGGCCTCCAAAGAAATACCGAATTACAACGTTGTATTTGCGCCTAAGCCGGTTCAAGAAGCATCTAGGTAGTGCCGAATTAATATGGAATATAGAGGAGAAGCGTCACCCCGTCGTTAAAATAGTGTCTGGCAAGGTGTCTGAAATGATATTGGGTTATCCAAAATCCTACATGCATTTCAACTGTGGTGTCTGTGATATAGCAACTAGTGAGGAGGAATATAATCATCCAGGTAATGAAGGTCACCGGCACTTAGTTGATCGCAGAACAATGTCAGTTCGAAAATGCCTCGTTTTCGAGATACTGGCAAAAATTCAACTTGTTAAAAAACGACTAATAAAAAATTTCTAAAAACTCTTGCGCGTCTATGATCGAGATGAAAGTTTGTTTTCTGGGTAAATCGGGTGCGTAGATTCCAAATTCAATGTCGATACAGTGTTAGAAATTACGGCTAGCCGGGAAAAATGGTTTCCTGTCAAATTTTCAGCCAAAATCCAGTCTGATGACACTTTAGAATTTTTTCACTATGATATTCATATTCAACGTGCCAAATTACCTCATTGTGCAAAGCTTCGCTCTCATGTAGCCATCGATAGTAAAAATGGATTTTTTGCAGCTTAAAGTCGCAGAAAACGCATAGTTTTGCAATGTTTCGCTAAATAATTAGATCTACATGATAAACGGGATCATATACATGTAAAACGACCTCGGATTCGGTATTGGCAACCCAAAATACGAGGAATAAAGGTCATTTGAACTGTATTTAAAGCATTTTAACATATAATTATCATGTATAATAGTTTAGACGGTAAAAATAATAATCTGGATCACCCTGTATAAACATGATTATTCTATGGCATGCCAAACTACGCATTACTCTATCGAAATCAATAAAGGTATGAAATCACTTCAGTTGAACCAGCCGGCCAGTGACCCACCTTCTCTTTATTCGTATTCCTTGGTAGCCTCCCGGCAGTACTATGTACTATGTACAATAGACTAGTGCATGATCACGAAGGACCACATATTCTTTTGAAGACCCGTGAAAAAATCGCGGTGCTTGGCGTGGAAATTCTATCACACCCCCCATACTCTCCAGATTTATCACCCCCAGACTATCACCTATTTTCTGTAGGGTAAAGACGATATCCAACAAAAGCTGAGTCAATTTTCCGAAATATAAGTAAGACTTTATACATAAACTGAAAATAGATAGAACTTTTTGGCAGATCAGATACAGTTTTGTTAAAAAAAAAACGAATTCCAGATATCGTAGGATAGTTTTGGAAACACCCTGTTTAGTTAACGTATGGATCCCACATAATTTTTTGACTTCATTACCATACCGTATTAACATTTTCTCTCCTCTCACGTTTATGGTATCGATAATTAAATTTTTCGCTGGGAAAATGTTTAGCGTAAATAACTACGGGTATATTGATTCAGTTGTACAGCAGACACTCTCACGGAAAGGTGACTGTTATTGACAGTTTAATCAAGATGTGTCCGTTCTCTTGTAATTAAAATATCATTTAGCGTAAAATTGAAAACAGTCAAGTGATGTTTTCGTAATAATACAGTCTCAGAATGCATTTTTTACTTCAAAATTGAATGGATACAACGATTTTTTAATAGTGATATTCGCATTCAAATTCAAATTACGTTAGTCTACGAATTTTCCTTCGCTTGTATATATTTGTCGGTACAGGGTATGAGAGAAATATTGGAAACTTTTCATTTTATTATTTTCTTTCATCCCCAAAGGCAAGAAAGACAAGACGAAAAAGCAGTCAACGGAAAGTTCGGACACGTCGACTACGAAAACAGAGAAGAAGCAACCCTTTGACGTAAAGTTTGCAGAGAAAGAGAAGGTAGGCAGCCAGTACGTCAGAACTAAGTTTATTAGAACCTCATTTGTTCCCAGTAAAAAAAATGAGCTTGTCGCTGCCTGTCCAGGCATTTATGTTCCTCCAGCCAATGGAACGCGCGAATTTGTACGTAAAAACAAACAAAAAACAGTTGATGTTTGCTTCTTATTCGCTTGTCGCTGCATGTCCAGGCATTTGTGACGCGCCAGCAAACGCGAGCGCGCGAATTTGTGCGTCGCACTTTTGTAGTTTTTGCTTAATTTTGATGGTAGACCACACGCTGATCAAGATATTTTGAAAAGAGTACGAGATGTACGTGCTGTGTTCGAAAAAAGCTGTATATCATTCAATTTTTGAATCTAGATTGACCTATATACTGTATTTAAGGAGAAAACCACCAAAGCAACGTCGGCGAGTCATCAGAAAACCCCTAGTATAGAATCGCGGAAATCCACGACGGAAAATGCGAATCAAGAGCCGAAAACTCCCCCGACGAGCTCGAGCAGCGGCGAAAAGAGAATAGGGGAGGCAGAGCGAAGTAAGGGGAGGAAAAGTACTTCGGTTAGCCCGGAAAGGAGTAAACACGTGCATCTGAAAGAAGAAGGTAACGAAAACGGTTTGTTGGAAATAATTTTAATATCAATGAGCACGTAATCCTTTTTCACTATTTTGCTTTGACAAATTTCATAATCTACTGACCTATTGAGCTTGAAACTAACTAATCCTGAAAGTATGATTTCACACATACAGGGTGTCCGCAAAGTTGGGGTTGTCCTTTACACGACGTGTAGATCTTGAAAACATAAGCAATTTTCCTTAGTACCATATACACCAATGTCTTAAGGGAACCGAGATAAAGGGCTCTGCAACATCAAAAATATCTGAATACCGTCCTGTAGCCGCGACCCGCGACATCACCGACTGGTACAAGGTCACTGGCTCAACCCGGCGACAGAACTGGGTCGGGGTCAGTGTGTCAGGTCAGTATGCAACCTTCAACCGACGGTTACGGTCACGCGTGTGGAGGTAATCGCGTAGACGAGAATCCCTCAACAAGCACTAGAGACGTGGCTAGAGAAGTGCAAGTATCAAAAACTAAAGTGTGGCAAACGCCGCGTGAAGAGGGGCTGTATCCGTTTCACGTCCAACGTGTACAGGCCCTTCAACCTGACGATTTTCCAGCAAGAGTGCGGTTTTGTGAGTGGTTGTTGCATCAACATGACAATAATCCGGACTTTTTGAAGTGCATATTGGTGACAGACGAATCTACGTTCACGCGTAATGGGGTGAATAACTTTCGCAACACTCGTGTTTGGTCAGTAGAAAATCCGCACGCTGTCCGTCGGGCACATTTTCAACAAACATTTTCGGTGAATGTTTGGGCTGGCATGGTGAACGGTATGCTCATTGGACCATTTATTCTCCGAAATCGATTGGACGGGATGCAATACCTAGACTTTTTACGCAACATTTTGCCTTCCTTGTTAGAAGATGTGCCATTAAGTGTAAGACAATCTATGTGGTTTCTGCGTCTGCTCGGTAGCGCATCAGCCGATTTCATTTTCTGTTGGAGCGGTATGATTTCGGGCAGAGACGTACTTAGCCCTTCTCGTCAAGTGGAGAGTGAGTACTTTTTCCTTTATTTTTTTTTAATTGGTCGCCCTTGTTTCACTACACATTACCTTTGTTATTTCAGGGGTAGTTGTTTCTGAAAAAGAAAACCCCAACTTTGCGGACAACCTGTATATCTTTCTTTTTTAGCTACGCAGTATTATGTTGCTTTTGGACACTTATGTTATATTTTATCAATGAAATTTCCTCATAAAATATCGTTAGTGGCTCGTAAACTGATTTCTTTACCCGCAACACTATTTTGGGAAATAACACGGATCTGAGGTCTACCCATAGGCAACCAGTGATGTTCTTCGTGTAGATTCAGCTGCGGAACTTTTCTTGAAATTTGTGTCAATCATTTTCCTGTTGAGACTTTCGATGATGCTTGAACCGTTTGTTTGATTTCCAGATTCTGGGATATTAGGCCCCAATCACCAGTTTGTGGAGTAGCACCTTTTTTATGTACCTACCTGATGTAAGCACGGTTTTTTATACAGTAAATTTTGAAAATGAGGCAAGCACCCCTACCTTGTAACATTCCTCACATCACTGCCCACTACTAGCCACTGGTTTTCAACCTGAGCGTTTGTGACATCCAGATAAGTTTAGGTTTATCTTACAAGTAGTAGTGACCTCAGTTTCCTTTATTTGTTAAGCAACCCCGGTACATATCAAGAGAAAACTACTCTTTATTCATTTCGTGAGCAGCAATAAAATTTCCATAATGTACATTTCATATCAAGAGACAAAAAGCCGAGCAAATAGAATAAAAAATGTTGAACTATCTCATAAAGAAGCCATCGCTTCTCAACAGATAGAGATACCGGCTTCTATGACATTATATAAAAATAGTTTTATGTCGATACTACCGGCTTCTTCTGGGAACTTCAAAGACTTCAGCTATGCACGCTTCCGATATTACGAAATTTAAATATAGACCTGGAGGCCGATAAATTGTACCCAGTTTGGAATACACTGATGTCAAATTTAATTGCTGAAAAGACAAAAATTCATCGAATTTTGTGCCGATTTTGTGTATACGAGGGTTCCAAAAATAAGGTTCCTACATTTTTTCAGACATTAATGGATTTACGCGTTTTGAAACGATATGACTCATCAATTTTCTTTGAAACTCCCAACGAAAGCCCAGGAACTAAAAAGTTTTGCAACACATCATTATTTATATGTATTGCCATTTCTTGATGGAAAAAACATTTTGTTTCAAAGGTGGCGGCAAACGGCACAAGAAACACAAAAAATCGGACAGGAACCGCGTACGACGTGGCAGCTATCTGATGGAACCGCCAGGGAGATCCTTCTCGGTTTGCACTGACAGGTCGAACACGATGGCTGCCGGGATAGGGTTCGGCTCAGGATTGTTCTTCGACGAAGGTTCAGAAAGGGAAAGGACTAACAGCAATAGCAGTGTCGATCTTTCCGATAACGCCAGGAAGATGTCGACTGTGTCGAACATACCTTTGAGTGGGAAAGTGCCTTGGTGTGGATGCTGGGGAAACGGATGCTTGTGACGTTAGGTTTGAGCTCAAAAATTTAATTGATGGCAAAAAATACAGGACATGATTCCTTAGCTCATTTTAGAGCTGAAGAGTGTTGGAATTTTGAGAAAAAATTCGCGATAATTTCATGAAATTTGACATGCATCTGCTAAGCATCAATAGGCATTTTTTGATGTAGAATATTTTTTTTATATTTCTACCAGTGGCGTCCGTACCGGATGTATTCTGGAGATTTTAAAAAAAAAATGGTACTCCATTGATTTTTTTCCGAAAATATTTGATTTTGCAATAAATTTGACCTTATTTCGCGTAAAAAATAAGAACCATTCTCATGCGTTTGTGCTATAACAGAATTATTTTGTACTAGTAGGGTGGTGCCCTATTTTGTTTTTAAACTAATGACATTTGATCAATCACGTTGCGGTCTTATTTTGACAAGTTTTTTACATTGTGAAAAAACTCAAGAGGTCAAATTTGTTACAAAGTATTTACGATTTCAAAAATGATTTTCGAAAAAAGCAATGGCGTACTTTTTTTACATATCCAGTATACATCCCGTACGGACGCCACTGGTAGAAATATAAAAAATAGTCTTCATCAGAAATTGACCATTGGTGATTAGTGGGTGCATGTCAAATTTCATGAAATTATCTAGAACATTATTAAAGTTATAATAAGAAAACGATTTTTTTTTAAAATTTAACACCCTGAAGCTCAAAAGTTAAGAGGTGTAGGACATATGTTCATATAAACTTTTCCTCCTAAAACGGAATCATATCCTGTATGTTTAGTCATCAATTAATTTACAGCCTGTATAGTTCAAACTACTATTCCAACACTGAAAATTACAAAAAAAACAAACCGTACGTGTAAGCTTAAAGGGGAGCTTCTACTTAGAAGATATATAGTACAAGATTGACGTCACGTTATTGCTTCAGAAATAATGCACAACAGAGATCATTTACTATAAATTCCATGAACATGTTTGGCAAAAACTTGTACAAAAAAGTTATGGACACCTCGCTTCGATAACAGTGCCGAATTACGACAGATATTTTAATCAATTTTGGTGGCCAAAACGTCAGTAATTCTGGATCTGTGATTTTGTTTGGCGGCCAATTAAAGTACAGGGTAAGATTCAGCTGTCACATTACAATGTTTTAATATACATCAAATATCTGAACGATATGTAAATCTGGCAACTATGCTATTTTAAGATAAAAATGTATTCTTGCGTTGTGTCCAAGATGTTGGGGTGCAATTATTTATAAGTCAATGATTGTATTATAGAAAAATTGTTTTTTATACGTGTATATTATGAGATGCCATGCATCACTGTGCCAAAATTTTTACGTAAATGTTCTTGTAATTGAAACATGGTTAACTTTTGTATCCAAATATAAATATATCATTAACATGGTATCTTCTTTCAAGCTTCCTCAATATACCTATATTTTAATCCATAAACAACGGTTAAAAGTTACTCGAAACAGAACGACTTCAAAACACGATCATCACCAGTCACGTCATTCATGTTTCTCAAGTATTTGAGGTTATGTTAACTATCTAGACGACGGTATTGGTCTTCACTAAGCACACAGCCCATAGCAGTACGGATTGCCGACTGTGACGTACGACCAGCGACGACGACGCTTGTCCATCGAGGGACCACGTCGCACATATAGACCATCGTCAAAAAATAGAGATATAATAACTTTCGTTCGAATTGCTTTGCGGATATGAAACAGATCTATATAGGCTTCTGAGGATCGCAGTGTCGATCAGACGTTTCCCGTAAAATTGGTGGACGGTGACTTGGTATCAGGATCACAGAACCGCGAGGAGGTATGTGAATAGTAATGTGCTCTATCTGTCATACTCGTGGTAAACTTTGATCTTCGGAATCTATGCTCCTCGTAGTTTCTGCGATCCTGATGCACATCTACAACTCTGAATATCATGTTCACAGAAATGCAGGGATGTATGTATGCTCCTGCTATGAGATAATCACGATACCTCTTGCGGTTTCTGCGATCCTGATAGCGACCTACCTGTTTCTAGAAATTGCATTGTCGACCAGACATTTTCGCGAAATTGGTGAACGGTAACTTGCTATCAGGACCCCAGAAACGCGACGAGATATGTGAACAGTACTGTGCTGTATCTATGATACTCGCACGGATTTGGATCGTCGGCATCTATGCTCCTCATGGTTGCTGCGATCCTGATACAGATCTATAAGTTTATGATTATCGCCACAGCTTCATCGTAATATTTATAGATTGGACACTTGTTATCAGGCTCACAGAAATGCAGGGATGTATGTAAATGATACTCTGCTATGAGATAATCACGATACCTCTTGCGCTTTCTGCGATCCTGATAGCGACCTACCTGTTTCTAGAAATTGCACTGTCGACCAGAGATTTTCGTAAAATTGAAAGATTGGACACGTGTTATCAGATTCACAGAAACGCGTGGAGGTTTGCTAATAATTGCTCCTGCTATGAGATAAGAACGACATTCAAATCCATAGAATCGATGCCTCTTGGTGCTTTTGCGATCCTGATACAGATAGGTTTCTGAAAATCGAAGTGTCGACCAGACTTTTCTCGTAAAATTGATGGACGGTGACTTGCTGTCAGGATCCCAGAAATGCGACGAGAACATATGTCTGTGAACAGTACTGTGCTTTATCTATGATACTCGCACGGATTTGGATCCTCGGCATCTATGCTCCTCGTGGGTTCTGCGATCCTGATGCAGATCTATGAGTGTCTTGAAGTCGCACCGTCGATCAGGCTTTCTTCGTAAAATTGAAAGACTGGACATATGTTATCAGGTCCACAGAAACGCGTGAAGGTTTGCAAATAGTTGCTCGTGCTATGAGATAAGCTCGACATTCAAATCCATAGCATCGATGCCTCTTGCGGCTTTTGCGGTCCTGATACAGATCTATAGGTTTCTGAAAATCACAGTGTCGACCAGACTTTTCTCGTAAAATTGATGGACGGCGACTTGCTATCAGGATCACAAAGACGCGAGGAGGTATGTGAACAGCACTCTGCTCCTGCTATGAGATAAGAACGAAATTCAAATCCATGGCATCGATACCTCTTGCCGTTTCTGCTATCCTGATACAGACCTACAGGTTTCTGGAAATTGCACTGTCGACCAGACATTTTCGCGAAATTGGTGGACAGTGACTTGCTATCAGGATCCCAGAAATGGGACGCGACCATATTTCTATGAACAGTACTGTGCTTTATCTATGATACTCGCACGGATTTGGATCCTCGGCATCTATGTTCCTCGTGGGTTCTGCGATCCTGATGCAGATCTGTGAGTTTCTTGAAGTCGTACTGTCGATCAGGCTTTCTTCGTAAAATTGAAAGATTGGACACATGTTATCAGGTTCACAGAAACGCGTACAGGTTTGCAAATAATTGCTCCTGCTATGAGATAAGAACAACATTCAAATCCATAGAATCGATGTCTCTTGCGGCTTTTGCGGTACTGATACAGATCTATCGCAGTGTCGACCAGACTTTTCCCGTAAAACTGATGGACGGTGACTTGCTATCAGGATCACAGAGACGCGAGGAGGTATGTGAGTAGCACTCTGCTCCTGCTATGAGATAATCACGAAATTCAAATCCATGGCATCGATACCTCTTGCCGTTTCTGCGATCCTGATACAGACCTATAGGTTGAATAGTCAATAAAATACTCACAGAGAGTAAAACAGTTAGGGTACAAGTATGTTAAAAGTTGTTTCTTGAAGATCTTCAAGTCGTTGATGGTTTCTAACTCATAGATCCACAAAGGTAGTCAGGGCTATCACGGTATGTGCTGAGGCTGTAGTTGTTCAAAGTAAAGTTGTTATTATTCCCTAGATTGTATCTCTGGGACACGTTTAGGTGAGGGAATTTGGAAAGATATGATTTCATATGAAGGAATGCCTCTGAATGGATAATGATAGATAAAGATTCGTCGGGCCTGATCAAACGATCCCCAATATAGCAATAAAAACATTTGAGGTGGGAATATACAATAGAGTAGTAGACATTTAATAAGTGTTGACCAAAAAATGTTGAATTAATTTTTTTGGCCACGTACCCTACAATTTTTTTCTGAAATTAAATCTGTGACAAAAAGTTAAGAGAACATAAGTACATTTTTTCGACCTATGACATTTTTACGTATTCATTGAGGCCGACTATAAGAACAATTCAGTAGAAACGGAAATATAAGGAGGTAGATACTATATATAGAGAGAACGCCATTAAAAATAAAAAAGCCGCAAGTCAAAAAAATGAAATACAAACCTTTTGCATTCTCATCTTCACGTTTTGTTTACATTTTCCAGACCTCTCATCGAATAATTTCATTACCCAATGGCGTCAAGTGCCGCACGTGAGGAGAATCTCGAAAATTGTATTTAATAGCAATTTCAATTTTGAACTTTCCTCCTTCGGTCTCCCTTAAATATAACAATCATCACTTCTCGGCAATTTCACGGCGAAAAATTCCAATTCTATTTAAAATTCTCCCGGGGCGCGCAGAGGGTGAGACCCTCCGGCGATTGATTTTTTCATTTACCGTCTCCGGATAATTTCGGCGACAGGGGACGAGGAATCAGGGGCGTACAATGTCCAGAAAGGAGATAGATAGTATTGATTAACAATTTTATCTGAGTAAAAACTCCGACCGGCAAGTTTATTACGTATAAAACCTATATAATATAAAAAAAACGATAAAATGTCAAGGCTGTGAGCGCCACCTATGGAGGAATGAATCAACCACCATGCTGCCAGCATGCTTTGTTGGTTGCAGAAGACAAAGATAAAACGTTAACATTGTTGCGACAGCGGATATTATTAATCACGTCCCTCTGTTTCCACATGGAATTCCAGATCGTTTGAAAGACGATTCCTCGGATACCAGACCATTTATTTCAGTGAAGGAACATTTTCTGTCCTAATCTTGGGCAATTTGTGTTCGTAATGTTTCCACTCAAATGCAGCGGTCGGGTATAGTCAGCAGTCTCTTGATTTGAGCGAATTATCTCCCGGGCCTGTTTCGTTGTAATCTACGAGCCCTCGGTCAGTGAAGTTGCCTCAACGCCCCAAAACATGATATTTGTGATTTTATTTGAGGGCTATTAAATAGAATATTTTTGGTTTCTTTAAATGCTTATGGAAAGGTAACAAAACCGACTATTTTTAAAGCGTTTTTATTTCGTAATTGTCAACTCAAGTTGAACGGTGTGTTTATTCTCTTCGATAAAATAAAGGTAGGCTTTGTATAACAAATGATATTTTACGTTGCTAAAAACCTGATTTTTGACGTTTAAATCAACTTTCAATGCATTGCTGTTAATGTTAACAATCAAAAATGGCTCGTGGTAAAGCTGTTTCTGACGAAATAAGAAAAGTGATCGTTCACTTTCATTTAAAGGGCGAAAATTCTTCCCAAATCGCTGACAGTGTTAACAGATCGAGGTATACAGTTAAAAATATTATTAAATTGTACAAAACAACGGGCTCTGTGGCTCAAAAACCCAGAACTGGAAGTCGCCCGCGACATTTCAATGCCAACTTAAGAGCCTTGAAACGGATTATCAAGGAAAATCGGCGTGCTAATTACAACGAATTGAAAATATTATTGATTCAAGCAACCACAAAACTGTTTTGAAGGGCCCTCTCCAAAAACTGGGATTTAAAACTTACGAGGTAGGCTTAAATTATTCGTTTTTAATTCAGTATTTCTAGGCAAAAGAGAAGCCCTTACTGACAAAGTATGCGTTGGTGATAGTGGGAGTCGAGTCATAAGAACTAGAGAAGAAATATTTCAGAATAACTGTCTTAACAACAAAGTTAAGTTTCAGAATAACCAAATTGACCAAATGACATTTTGTCCAATTTTTTTTTGACATTATAGGATAGTTTTTTTTACTTAATAGCCCTACCGATCTCCTGTTTCTCTCCAACCTAAAGGATACTTTTGCAGTGTTAGCACGCACATTACACATTGGGCTCTAATACCTCTAATTTCACTCAGCGGGCTATGACCGCTCGCTTAACGTCCCAGATTCATATTCATAAATAACTATTATTCACGAAAGAGGCGATTCAATTTTATCTCGAGACTCCGAATACTGAGAAGCAGATCAGTATGCCGTGAAGAAACCTCGTATTCGACGACGTTCCCGGAATTCTTAGATTCGCCATTAATTCTCTCTGTTTCTACGTTCCGTGGATGCTCCGGTCGGGCTTTTTTATTGGAAAAATAAACTGTCGTCACGTCGAACTGCGACATTCATTAAGTGAAAAATAACTTCTGTTAATTATCGCGCAAGCGAAGACAGCCTGATTGGATTCCGGAGTTCTTTCGT